TGTTATAATGTGTTAATATTATGTACTGTTCGGCATTGTTAGTAAAGAATAAAATATTTAAATAAAATATATATTGTATAATAAGCCATTCAGATAAGATATAAGCTGTAAATTAACTTATTTAAGGATTATAAGATAGCAGAAGAAGTATTATGCCATATCAGAAGAGGGGTGCAATATATACCATTATAGACTTTCCTAAGAGCTATAATTCTTATATCCCCATTGTAAGGACATGTAATGTTTATTAATTCTTATAACATAAATCTGTCTTATTACAACCTTATAGTATCTTTTATATATCTTATCCAATAAGGGGTGCAATAAATGTTATTATGGATAATATTGTTTTTTTACATATTATATATGTATATAAGAGTATATAATAATAAAGACTTTTTCCTGACATATGTTATAACATAAATCAAATAATAACATATATGACAATATTACAGCCAAACAATTAATGTAAGACATGTCTTAGGTACATGTCTTAGATATGTTAGACATGTCAGATATGAGATAAAGAACATATAACTATCTACAGACAAATTAATTAATAATAAGAATAAAGTTACAAAGTATATTACAGTAACTACAGTATAGGAACAAGTACACAATTATAGTTAATAAACAAATAACAATACCTTACACCTATAATAGTGTAAACATATAATAACAATGTAAAATAATGGCAAACAGTAGAATAATACCTCTACCATTACTAAAACAATGTAACAGAACATATTTAATTGTACAGAATGTAGATATACTTTAATAAAGTATAAATAAACTTATATTGAAGCTACAAAGCTTATATGTAAGTAAAGTACTACTGATACAGCTAGTACAACAAATACAAGAAAAACTATAACAGACACACTTATTATAATGATTACAAATAAAGACAATTATAATATAATATGATTAAATAAATTAATAAAACATTTAAGGCATTATCTTGAACAGTATAATATATAAAGAAAAACTGACAGATTTCTTAGCAGGTCTGACTGTAAATGTAGTAGAATGCCCAGAATTATGCTAGAGAATGATAATGGACACTCTGTCCATTTACAATTAATATAAATGTTACAGACATATAACAAACATTACATTAAAATTTATAAAACAAACAGTACAACATTACAGTATAATGTTTAAACAAAATAATGTATGTTAAACATTACAAGTTAACTTAAAGTATACTGTTATATTATAACACATACTGACAAATGCACAAAAGTAAAATAACAAAGTACTAACACTACTTGTTGGATTACAAATACATGAAAGGAAATTAATGATGTATTTCTGTACTTACACTACTTGTCAATTACTTGAAGAAAAACCTTCTAGAATTGAAGGGGAGTGATTGAACAATATATACACTAATGATGAACATTGAGTTCTTAATGTGAACATATTGACTATGTTGCTAAGTGAAATCTGCAATGAATCTGACTAATCTGTTGAACACAAAACATGAACCCAACAAATCTGTCAAACACAAAATACCTTATTAAAGAATATAAATAAAATAAAAATTATACATCACATAACCTTTTTAATGCTTATAAAATCTATTCAAACAGATAATTAATAAATTAATAATAATAAAGCTTAGAAATAGTATATATTCCTAAAGTATTCTTTACAGCAAATGTGTAAACATTCACAATACAAAACTGTATATGAACAAATGAATATTTATGACACAGAAACATCAATCTTATTACTGATCCTAAAAACAATAAGTAATAGAAGTTACAGACAGACATAATGGATCACAAAGGTAAATCATTCAGTACAACACAAAAGAACATTGATTAGAACAAATAATAGAACTCAACACAATGTGCAATTGAACTTCAACATTAAATAAATAATAATTCTACTACAAAACGAATGCTAATACTTGGCAAATAATATTAATATAATAATCTGATTAACTTAACAAAGTTTAATACAAAAATAAATAAAATACAAACAAATATCATATCATATAACAAAATAATTCATTAATCCAGACTATAGCTCATACATAACAGTGATGAATAATGAAAATAATAGTTCAGAACATACATAAAACAATAAATAATATATCCATACAATAATACAATTATAATTGTAATATAATTTGTAACTACAACCAAACAACACACAGATAATAACTATATAAACAAGTATGAAGCACATACATATAATCAAATAAAACTATTAAATCAATTCTTGTACAAACAATTAATTTGCCCTCACTGTATAATTAATACAAGTGTGAACAGTATTATAATACTATGAAATACATTGCATACATACTAATAAGTATATCTATACAATGATTCAAATAAAATAAATAAAACCAATATATAAAATGTTTTACCTAGCAAACCAATTAACAAATAAAACATTAAACAAATACTACAATTGTGTATAGCATTATATTAACTAAAGTATGCTAGGAGACAATTATACTAAACATAATCTAATATATTACTTATATACAGATTGTGTTACAATGCACTATTCTTTGTAAAACAAAAAGTAAAGAACAATAGTTATAATACTTATAAATATTTATAACATCACAATCACAACAATTCAAAATAATATTATAATAAATAATATGAATGTATGTTAGTAACAATTTACAACAAATAATTATGTTGGCTATTAAAGAAATAACACAACAGATTGTATAGTTACTCAGGATGTGTTAGAATCAATTCATTATAGAATGCAATATTAATAAATTACTACATAAACATAAACAATAACACAAAGTAATACAGACAATACATTCATAATATAATACATATACAATACACTTAGACACATAGTGAGCTGCCTACAGCCAGATATAACATTTATACAACAAATATATGTTAGTATAAAACCTTATTAATCTCAGAATAAAGTAATCTGGTAAAAACAAACAATATTATTAATATTACAACATACAATCAATGTAAAGCTTCAATCTAAAGACACAAACCAGCTATTACTGAATGTTTAATGTATATACAAATGTACACAAATGTGAACAGTGATGATTAAAGAAGGATATTATTACAACACTGAATATACATTTTACTAGCATGATTCATTAGTTTTACAGTAAAGTAAAAGGAAATTACTAGTAATACTTGAACAAACTTAATAAATAAAACACACACATTACAATCTTACACAGTACTCATGAGATTCTGCAGGTCTCTAAAGCACATATGATATTAATAATAATTTCAAACAATTTATTGTAAAAACAATACTGTCATTCAATAGTAAACTATGTACAAACTTTGAATTAACTCTGAACAATTTTAATCACATTAAACAGTCTACATGACAACAAACAATGACTTAATAATATAATGATGAACAAAGTACAGAACTAATAATATGACAGCAAATGAAAACTTAATAGATATCTAACAACACACAAAGTTAACACACAGTAGACTAAAATATACAATACAAACAACACACTTATATTATACAAATAACATTATAAATACAATACACAAACAAATATAATACAAACACAACATACAATACAGATATAATATTAATAAAACTGTACAAATGATCTACAAATCAAACATCTTATAAGTCTGACCAACTTATAAATGTTTGAAGAGGAGTAGTAGTAGTACTATAACTACCTCTAAAAATAAAAATAAAATAACTACAAATCAAATAAACAAATAATCACAAAACAAACATATTATTAAACTAATATATGTTTGAAGGAGAGTGTTAATATAGAATGACACATATTAGTAACAGATGTACTCAAGACATAGTTACATATTATATATACTTACTGAATTAATAGATAATAATACTCACAACAAGTGACACTTATAATAAACAAGAGTAGAGTCTACTAAACTCTTATACTGTGTAATTCTCTCTAAGTATAACCTCTCTTAATAAAACTCAATATTAGTAACAGTATAGAGGGGACTCAAAGGCTTAGTAAGGGGACCTAGGCTATAACTATTCTACACAACAGAAATACAGAATACAAGTACTAGAACATAGTCAGAACTTGTGAAACAGGTAGAGAGAGAGAGTAAGACAAGAGTAGAGTATATAGAGTGAGCCTAAGAGTATAGGACTACCTAGAGTAAATAAGATCAAGACTACAGAACCAGTCTAATCTTATATACTTATATATACTAAACTATATAAGAGTACTCAGAGAGTATGAGCTACTAAGAATAATAAGTCACAAAGAATAAAAGAAAGGAAGGTCAAAGATAAAAGTATAAAGAATAAAGGGATAGACAAAGGGTAAGAGACTATAGAATGAACAAAGAATGAAGGGGTAGTTAAAGGAATAGGATGATAAAGTAAGGAAGGGTAGTAGTAAGAGTTAGTATACATATAGTTTATAGACAGTACTCCTGAGGGACAGAAGTCTTAAGTTCTAGTATAGAAGGGTGTAGAACCCTTAGAACTGAAAGTATAAGAGTAGAGAACTATAACATCACTCTCCCTCTAAAACTAATTGTCCTGATTAGTAAACATTAGACTTAGTTAGTAGTTTAAACATAAGTCAGAACAGTAGGGTTTGGAAATCTGTAAGATAGAGTTAATACAGAGTACTCAGATAAAGTTAATAAAAGTCTTAAATTGTCTTAACAGTATGAGTAAGATTCTTAGTAGGTTCCTAAGTGTATTCTTTAACTAAGTATCCCTTCTAGTAAATAAGGAACTTGAGCTTTCTGTGTACTAGCTTAGTATCTACTACATACTCTACTTTGTATTCTAGTTTAGAACTAATGAGTTCTAGTAGAGGTAGTAAGAGTCTTTATTATGAAGGAAAACCTGGATTATAGTACTAAGACAGTAGAACCTTGTTAAACACTAAGTGTATGTACTTTCATATTGTTAGAAGTTAGAGTTTATAGACAGAGGTACTAACCTTCTTTTTAATAACAAAGGGTCTAAAGTACTTGTTGTCCAACTTCTTTATTAAGTAATCTATAGTCAGGTTAGTAGCTTTTAGTATAACTTTGTCCCTAGACTAGTAATCCTTAGTTACAGATCTCTTCTAATTGTAGTTCTACTTTATTACTTATACTACCTTCTCTAAAAAAGCTTGTGTATCTTCCCTAGTCTTGTGTATCTGTTCTACAAAGTTTGTTATAGATTCAGAACTACTATTCTAGTTTAGAACTGTCTCCTAGTATGAATGTCTCTTATAATTAAGGAAGAACAGGGACTGTCCTATTATAGAGTGTTACTAGTTATTGTATACAAATTCTGCTAGAGCTAACTATTCAGACTAATCTGATTACTAATAATTAATAAACATTTGAAGGTAGAGCTTGATCTTCTGATTGACTTACTTAGTTTAACTGTTAGTCTGTAAGTAATATATAGTAGAAGGGTTCTCTTAAATTCTAAGAAGTATATATAAGTTCTATATAAATTTCAACTTAAATTATAGTCTATAATTATGAATGAGCTTCTAAGAGAGTCTGTACAACTAGAAGACATAATCCTGATAGAGACACACTATATTTTTAGAAGTAAGTTCTGTTTAGGTTAAAACTGTATAAACTTGCTTAGAGAATTAGTTAACAATTATACAGATAGTATTATAACTCTAAGACTTAGGTAGCTTACTAATCAGGTCTACTAAGACTTCTTTCTAAGAGTAATTTAGAATCTGATACAGATGTAGAGGAGCTCAAACCCTTATCTAGTAGGCCTTAGTCTGTTAGTATATATTATAACTAGTTATATACTTTAGGATTTCCCTCTGTATTCCTAACTACTAGTAATTCTAAGTAATAAGTTTCTGTGTTTTGTGTCAGCCTAAATGTTCTATAGTTAGATTATTATAATAAGCTCAGACAATGTCCTTTTACAGTTTCTAATCCTTTAGAATGTACAGTCAGCCTTTCTAGTAAACTTATTTATTCTTATCCTTCTCTTAATCCCTAGCCTACTTCTCTAACTACTTTACTATAACCTAGTCCTGTGTGTGTTTCAGAGCTTACTATATACAAGTGACAAAGTTAACATTTTTGGATTTGAGTCAGATCTCTTAAATTGTCTCAGATGTAAAACAGGAATTGTCTAGGAGAACAAGGTTTTTATTATTATTCTCTCCTCTTTTATAACCTACTTGTCTTAAGAGTAAATCAGCTTTTATTATTTGTGTTCTAGGTTTGTAGGTTAGTACAAAGTTATAGTTTTACAGTTCTAACATTTAACAGGCTTAGTAGTAATTAAGCTTCTAAAATACTTAGAAGTACTAAAGATTAAGGTGATCACTCTAAATCTTAAACTTCTGTATAGTACTAAGAAGATATTAACACTACTCCTCTAAGGAACAAATAATTACAAGAAGTTCCTTGTTATAAATAGAGTAGTTCTGTTCTGTTATAGAGAGGGATTCTGATCAGAACACTATCAGACACTACTTTCTGTTAATAAACTAAAACAGTACTACTCTATTTGTAAAGTCAGAAGAGTTAGCTTTGACTTAGAACTTGTCTACAACTGTTAGAACTACTAATACAGGCTTGCTAATAATAGCTTACTTAAGAGACTCAAACACAGACTATTACTAATTATCCTATTACTAAGGAACATCTTTACTAGTAAAATTGTGAAGGGGTTAGACAATAGTACTAAAGTCTTAAATAAAGTATTAGTAGTAGTTTACAAACCTAAAGAATACTTAGACCTGTTTCAGGTTCTAAAGTTGTAACCAGTTCCAAACTATAGTTACCTTTACTAGATCTATACAGACCTCTTCTCTACTGATTACAAAGCTTAGATAATCTACTAACTCTTATATAAAAGAGTACTTTACTTTTTAGAGAAACAGTTTATTATCTTAGAACTATTATAGTACTACTTAGATTAGTTAGTAATAGTACTTAACTGTCTGAGTAAAGATTAGAATGTTGTTTAGATACATACTAACATACTCTAAGTTAATCAGATCTGTAAGGATGTGATTCATGAATGACTAGAATGTTGTAAGCAAGTTAGTTAGTCTGAAGAATATTATAGTCAGTTTGTACAATCTATAATTAGTTTAGAATACAGTCTTCTACTCATTTCTGTCTTAGATCCAAATATTATTGTATTCTTATTAAACATTCAACTTAGTAAAAACCCTAGATGTATACATCTTATTAATAAGCTCCTAAATTAGAGAGAGTAAGTACTTATTTTTAATAATACTCTTATTAAGACAATAATAATTCTAGACTAGGTAGAGCTTCCTATCTTTCTTTTTAATAAAGAAGAAAGAGGAGACTATAAAGGACTTTAAGAGTTGAATCCAACTGTTCTGAAGATTTTCCTAAAGGAACTCATTAAGTACCTTCTACTTGTCTTTATTAAGTAGGTAGACCTTACAATCCTTAGATTAGAAACTCTTAGTTAATTCAATTGTATAGTTTTAGAGACAGTGTTTAGGAAGTTAGTTGAATTCCTCTTTACTAAAGACTCTAAGGAACTCTCAGACAAAATCTAGCAGACTGAGTCTATGTGTATTCTAGAGTAGAGTTGTTCTGAGAGGGTTTCAAACTGGTTCTGTCTTAGACATTCTTTAGATTGACTCTATTCTGTCTTAACTAGAATATGTGTCTATATATCTATCCTAGTTAAAGAAAAACAACTAGTCACCTTTATCAGAACTGTTAGTAATATTGAAAGTATTTACATTTACTTAGAATAGTAGTACAAAGTAGTTGTAAGACTTAGAACACTAATTGAACACAAGTGTCTACTCTAACTAGTTAATAGTAGGGTTGTAAGCTTTAAGCCATTTGAATCTAATAAAGATGTCTATCTTTCTAAGGTTAGTAACTCTAAACTTAATACTTTCCTTATAATCCTAAATAGTCATCTGTAGTTAGACAAACTTAGTAATTCAACTATTCTAGTTTAGAGTTCTGTCTATATTATATACTAGGATTAGAAGTAAAACACATTAAGTAGAGAGATAGTGTTCTTACACAAAGGTCTTATTAATGTATAAACTAGTACATTTACTGTCTACTAGAACTATTGTTTGAATCTAGAAGGATTCTAAGAAGGGAGTTAAGAGGACAGGAACCTAGAGCTAGTGTTTAGAATGTTCTCTAATAAACTACTACTTGTTCTGAAGGAAACATACAGCTTGTACAGTCTTATTGTTTAAGAGGGTAAGTATATATACTAACATTTCCTTATTAACCTCTCTCTTTCAACAAGGACAGACCTATGTTCTTAGTTATAAACTCAGTTAAGACTATTCCTACTTAATATTACAAACAAACTACTAAGTAGTAAATAGGACTGAGTAGTGTTCTAAACATTCTGAGATCTTGAAACACAGAAGTAGTAGGTTAGATTGTACAGATTTAGACTCAGATAAAGTACAAAGAGAAGAATCAAAAGAATTAAAAGAAATAAGAGGACTATCTACTTTTGTTTTCAACTTTTTTCTTTCTAATAAATAATTTTGTTAATTTACTTTTTCTACTTTTTCTACTTTTCTTACTTTATTTACTTCTAATCCTATAGTGTCTATTAAAAAAGTAACTATTAAAAAATCTGAGTCATAGTCTTTTAGTACTACATTTACTGTTAAGCCTTTACAAAATCCTAGAGTATATAGTTAGAGTTTAAGAGTTTTAAGATAACTTTTAGATTTGTAAAAAAGGCTTCTTACTACAAATCCTACTTGTTACTTATTATTACTCTAATGACCTAACAGATATACTGTTACTTCTATAAACAGTCTTTAATCTAGTACTCTAACTTTCTGTAAGTAAAGTATACTCCTTACTTTTAGACTTCTCTAATGTTTATTAGAATAGATTGATTGTAAATTATAGACAAATTAATTTAAGGGCTCAGAACTGTTAGAGCTAGACACAGATATAAGTATTCTATACAGACTTGACACATTTAAGCTACAGCTTGGTTGAAGGAAATAGTGTGTGTCTTCTACTTAGTGTAAGTAATTAGTTCTAGTATTATTCTAAGAATCTTATTAACCAGTTTTAGGTAAAAAGCTTTTTTAAGTATTCTAATAAGAACATTATTAAACCTGAGTATAAATCCTGTCTTCTAGGCTAGAATATTAAACTCCTGAAAGAAGGTATTAACAGAATGTTTACTCTGTCATAGAGACACAAGCTTGTTCTACACATTATACTTCTTATTTAGATTAATAAAGGAAGTATAGAGCTGCCTTATAAATTCTAAATACAACTTGTTATTCTAAAGTCAGATCAGGCTTTCAATCTAATAGCCTTTAATCCAGTTCTAGGCTCAGGTGGCTGTGTTACCTTCCTTCATAAAGGAGAGGACAAATAGGACACAATTAAGATCTAAGAATAGATTAGTCAAAGTAGTAGCTATATATAATTCAACTTAGTATTAGAAGTTCTTAAAGTACTGTTTATTAAAGTCTAAAGGGTAGACTATATACACTTTCTTTCTAGAACAGGTTACAACTTCTAGAACAACTAGAACAGGTTTTAAAGAGGTTAAAGGTATATAGTTAGTAAAAGCCTCTTAAATAAAGGTTTGTATGTATTAAGCTAGGTCTACTTGTAACTACTAATCTGATAGGACAGTAAGGGTAGTAGTTAGTGTAGGAGAGTCTATGTTTACACTATAAAGAAATTAGTACTAAACTAAAAGGGGTAATGAATAGAAAGAAAGGTAGCAAAAGTTTAAAAGGGTTTAGAAAGTTTAAAATTTAAAAATATAAAAGGGTTAGAACAAAGAAAAGAGATTAACACAATAGTAAGTACTAATACTTAAAACATAAGAGAGTTGTAGAGTAGTAATAGGTAGTCTTAATTTAATGTTAGTAACAGTATAGAGGGGACCTGAAGGCTCAGTAAGAGGACCTAGACTATAACTATTCTACACAATAGAAATATAGAACACAAGTACTAGAACATAGTTAGAACTTGTAAAACAGGTAGAGAGAGAGAGTAAAACAAGAGTAGAGTATATAGAGTGAGTCTAAGAGTATAGAACTACTTAGAGTAGACAAGATTAAGACTACAGAACTAGTCTGATCTTATACACTTATATATACTAAACTATACAAGAGTACTTAGAGAGTATAAATTACTAAGAATAATAAGCTATAAAGAATAAAAGAAAGGAAGGTTAAAGATAAAAGTATAAAGAATGAAGGGATAGACAAAGGGTGAGAAACTATAGAATGAACAAAGAATGAAGAGGTGGTTAAAGGAATAGGATAATAAAGTAAGGAAGAGTAGTAGTAAGAGTTAGTATATATATAGTTTATAGACAGTACCTCTGAGGGACAGAAGTCCTAAGTTCTAGTATAGAAGAGTGTAGAACCCTTAGAACTAAAGGTATAAGAGTAGAGAACTGTAACACTCAAGTTTCTTGTTTACTAGAAAGGGTACCTAGTTAAAGAATATACTTAAGAACCTGTTAAGAATCTTACTCATACTATTAAAGTAATTTAAGACTTTTATTAACTTTATCTGAGTACTCTATACTAACTCTACTTTATAAATTTCTAAACCCTACTGTTCTAACTTATACTTAAGTTACTAACTAAGTCTAATGTTTACTAATTAGAACAATTAGTTTTAAAGGAAGGGTAATGTTATAGTTCTCTACTCTTATACCTTCAGTTTTAAAGGTTCTACACTCTTCTATACTAGAACTCAGGACTTTTGTCTTTTAGGAGTACTATTTATAAACTATATATAGACTGACTCTTACTACTACCTCTCCTTACTTTATTATTCTATTCCTTTAACTACCTTTTCATTCCTTGTTCATTCTATAGTCTCTTACCCTTTGTTTATCCTTTTATTCTTTATACCTTTATCTTTAACCTTTCTTTCTTTCATTCTTTATAGCTCATCATTCTTAGTAGCTTATATTTTCTAAGTACTCTTATATAGTTTAGTATATATAAGTATATAAGATCAGACTAGTTCTGTAGTCTTAATCTTATTTACTCTAGATAGTCTTATACTCTTAGACTTACTCTATATACTCTACTCTTGTCTTACTCTCTCTCTCTGTCTGTTCTACAAGTTCTGACTACATTCTAGTACTTGTATTCTGTATTTCTGTTATATAGAATAGTTGTAGCCTGAGTCCCCTTACTAAGCCTTCAGGTCCTCTCTACACTGTTACTAACATTATTACTATATATAGTAGACTATACATAGAACCTCTTTACTAAAAGGGTGTAATGTTAAGCTTAGCTTGACACCTAGTCTACACTATATATACTAAATAATGTGTTCCTAACATTACCCTCCTCTTAAGACACATGTTCTTATGTACTTAGTATATAGAGCTTGACTCTAAGAGTTACTATTTCTAACTTAACCTTAACAGTCCTGTAGGAATTCAATAGAGGCTTCCTAATATAGAAATTGAGCACAGTATTCTAAACAACCAGGAAATTCATTTTTATAACCAATCTGCTGCTTGATTAGGAAACTTATTCCCAGCCTAATACCTTTAGCTTACTAGCTCTATACTAGAATTGAACTCCTAACTACTCTAAGCTTAACATTATGTGAGGGATTACTATATATAGTAGACCATATATAGAACCTCTTCACTAAAAGGGTGTAATGTCAAGCTTAGCTTGACACCTGGTCCACACTATATATACTAAATAATGTGTTCCTAACACAATTATTCAAACATGTAACAATAAAAAATAAGTAATTCTGTTAATATTACAGAGGGGAATTGTAATTGAAAAAGGGTTTAAAATGTGTTTTAATGTATAAAAAGGTGTATATTAAGTGGAAAAACAGTACAGAGGTTTTGTATGTGTTTAAACAAAAAGGTAGTTGAAGTCACCTGCCAAATGAGGCAGGTGGCAAGCACATTGGGCATTTCACAATTTCTTACTGTGAAAAATAACTTACATAATGTTAAACATTATTTGTAATTAAATTTACCATTTTTGATTGATAGAAATCATGAACAAAATTTCAAGTTTCTTCCATAATCAATACAAATACAGAAAAAACTTAAAATATTATTTTGAATTTCTACTAAACTGAAATGGTAAATTAAATTACAAATAATGTTTAACATTATGTAAGTTATTTTTTAAGGCAAGAAATTGTGAAATGCCCGATGTGAAGGGGGAAAAAAGACGACGTGACTCTCATAGTTTTCCGGAAACGCTGTAAGATAGAAATGACTGCCAAACTGGGAATGCTATCAGGTCCCGCGTCAATTTTGCGTTGGCCTCTCAGACTCATGCCTCTCCAGTCGCTCTTCTCCCATACGTCTGGTCCTCCTCGTGTTGCAAGATGACCCAGGAAGCTCCCATCATCATCGGTATACTGGGTGAGAGTTTCCAGTCTTTGTCCATGGATTGATCCTGACGCTCGAACGTGCAGCCATGCAGGGTGCATTCGCCGAGCACCAAGTCATGCTCCAGAAAGTACGAGTGCATAGGCCAATCAAGATCGCACTCATTAGGCAGGCAGAGGATCTAGTTCAATGTGATGGGCTTATTATCCCGGGCGGAGGTGCGTTTGGTAATTAAATTATACTCATTATTATCAATTATGCTCATGTTGTCTACTGTACTACCGCATAGAGTCAACGACGATCGCCTTGCTTGCACGACTTGCTGGTTTGACAGAGCCCCTCCGAGAGTTTGTCCAGAATAAGCCGGTATGGGGGACATGTGCTGGTGCAATCCTGCTCTCGCGGGACGCGGAAGGGATGAAGAAAGGTGGGCAGGAACTACTTGGCGGTGTCGATATCAAGACGGCTCGGAATGGCTGGGGGTCGCAGGTGAGTTCACGTCGTTACTCGCTCGGATTGTCTCCTGAGTGTATGTCTCGCAGGTCGAATCATTCGAGGCACCTCTGTACACCGAGGGCCTGCGAGAGTCGAACCGACCGTTTACAGGTATTTTTATCCGTGCTCCTGTGAGTTCTCCTTAGCGCTACATCGGATTCATCTCGACTCATTTCTTCCAGGTAATTACCGATATCACACCTTCGGCACTCGCGCCACCTGTGCAAATTGTTGCGCGGCTCTCTACAGGGCTGCTTCCGAAGGGGCAACAAATTGTCTCCATTGACGAGGACGACACGGATCCACGGGATGCACGGACGGTGGTCGCACTGCGGCAGGGCCGGCATCTTGTTACGACATTCCACCCGGAGCTAACGAAGGACGATCGGTTCCATGAGTTCTTTGTGAAGCAGTGTGTATTGCCTTCGCTTGAGGAGCGTACAAAGTGAGGAATTAGTAGAATGGTTGGATAAATTCTATAGATGGTGTATCTTTTTTAATCTTATTATATACTTGAGCAATAGAGCGTGACATGACTATTGTTACTCTGCGTGGTTTTACGAGAGTGCCGGATAAGGAAGTCTTATGTCACAATCGACGCCCCTTTTTGGCAGTCGAGGCAAGTCGCGGCGGTTGCTTGTTCAGTCAGACAGACAAACAAAAGACTGAAGAGAGACGACCGACGGTCCGTCTTCATGTACAGCGACGCCGACGGGGACGGCGAACCCGACGACGACTTCGAAACAGCAACAACAACAACAACACACCAGCCACAGCGTTCACCACTCAAGATCAGACTTCCTGCCTCTCAGATGGCTCGCTCAGTCGCAGACATCCCCATGGCTGGCGTCCGTCGCTCGGGACGGACCCGCAAGTCCTCTGACTCCCTCGCGCAGCCTTCTGGTTCCGAGTACTCTGCAGGCGACGCTTCGCCGTCGAGCCCTGTTGACGAGCGTCCGGTGACGAAGAAGAAACGAAGGGCGGTTAGAGATGACTACATGGATGATTACGAGTTCACCCAACAGTTCAAGGTCGAGGTTACCGATTACACCACTTCGCACGGCCGCCAGACCAAGCGTCCGAACTACATCGAGAGCGATGACGACGCCGCCAACAACCTCTTCGACCAGGCCGATGATCAGGTCGAGGTTGTCAAACGCCCAACACGGTCTACTCGCAGCAATGGCACCAGAGGAACAAGCCACAGACGAGTGAACAGCGATGATGACGGGGAGGTCTCCATAGCGGCGCCCTTTCCCATGACTCGCAGCCGCAAAAAAATAACGTCCAACTCCCCGCCTGCGGATGCACCTGCCAACGATGCTGACGACGCAGACGAACCACCCCCGACAGGCCGTCTCACTCGAGCTCGCTCACGGCTAACGCGGAAGAAGAGTGCACGCGAGCGCGCGGAGGAGGACGGGTACACTGACGTCGGCGACGCAGATGCTCCGGGCTCCTCGGAGGACGAGCTGATGGAAGAGGCGCCGTCGACGCCCGTCGACGACGATAACAACGAAGAGGAGCCAGATACTGGTCCTCGGACGTATGGCCTACGCGCACGGACGAAGCAGGTCAACTATGCTATCCCTCCTCCGCTCGAAGAAATGCGTCCACCGGAAGTCAAACGCTCGAAGGCAAGCAAAGGAAAAGGTCGTGCGGGCCCCGGATGGAGTGCAAATGGTACAGTACTCTCGCGATATATGGGCATGCCAGGACCTGCAGACGACTCGGACTCGGATGTTCCAACGCGCACACCCCGAAAACCCTTTGGCACTGGTACCGGTGCTGGTGCTGGCGGTGGATTGTTCGCGGCTGGCGGAGGAGGCTTGTTTCCTGATGGCCTCGCTGCTGCTGGAACACCTTCGAATCTCGGTAAGGTTAACGATGCGGCACTTGCAGATGCAGATCCGTTGGGTGTAAACCAAAATGTGACCTTTGATGAGATTGGAGGGCTGGATGATCGTGAGCCTTAATCTTACCTATATCCCAGTCATTACTGACACCTTCGCTAGATATTAACTCGCTGAAGGAGATGACACTGCTTCCGCTCTTATACCCAGAGGTCTTCCAACGCTTCAACCTTGTTCCTCCCAGAGGTGTGCTGTTCCATGGCCCACCAGGTACTGGTAAAACTCTATTGGCACGTGCTTTGGCCGCAAGCTGTCGAGCGAATGGCAGGGGCATCTCATTCTTCATGCGCAAGGGTGCCGACGTGCTATCGAAATGGGTGGGCGAGGCAGAACGACAGTTGCGCTTGCTGTTTGAAGAAGCCCGCAACCAACAACCTTCAATAATATTCTTTGACGAAATTGACGGTCTTGCCCCTGTTCGCTCATCGAAACAAGACCAAATACATGCATCTATGGTTTCTACGCTTCTCGCACTCATGGACGGGATGGACGGACGTGGCCAGGTTGTCGTCATCGGTGCGACTAATAGGCCTGATGCCGTTGATCCCGCCTTGCGTCGTCCCGGACGTTTTGACCGCGAGTTCTACTTCCCGCTGCCGAATCTCGAAGCACGAGCAAGGATTCTCACCATCAACACGCGCAAGTGGGAAGGATGGGACACGGACAAGGCAACGGAGACGATTCAGAAGCTGGCTAAGATCACGAAGGGGTATGGAGGTGCAGACCTCCGAGTCAGTGCATTTCTCGATCCGTTCGGTGTTAGAAGCCAACTAAATGCATGCATATATACAGGCACTTTGCACGGAAGCTGCGCTGAATGCTGTTCAGCGGCGTTATCCTCAGATCTACAAGTCGACGGACCGGCTACTCCTGAAGCCTGAGACGATTGGAGTGCAGCCACGCGACTTTATGATTTCCGTAAAGAGTGCGTGTTTTAGTCTATCTATCTCAAGACGAGACGCGACGCGACGCGTCATGGCTCGTCGCGTCTCTCCTTTCTTCTTCGCTCCCGTGTCGTGCCTGACTGCTGCTGACTAACACGTGTTATAGAACTCATCCCGTCCTCCGCACGTGCGACTGGCTCGAGTGCTGCGCCCCTGCCTTCGCAGTTAGTCCCGCTTCTGGACGATACGCTGCAGCGCGTAAAGACAGTGCTCGAGAAGGCGATGCCGTTGGGCAAGAAGCGGACCGCATTGGAGGAAGCAGAGTTCGAGGACGAGGACGATGATGGTGCTTTGGAGCGTGAGATTCTCATGCAGAGTCAGTTTTGTTTGTCTCTGTTTACTGCTACCACTTATGTATTGTCACCCCCTCATCATCATCATCGTCTGCAGAGATGGAGACGCTGCGTGTATATCGACCACGAGTCGTACTTCATGGAGATCCAGGAATGGGCCAGAGCTACGTCGGTGCGGCAGCGTTGCATCACCTCGAGGGTTTCCACATACAGAGCCTGGATCTTGGCTCACTGATGGGCGATTCGACACGCGTTCGTGTATTTCAGATCAATCGTTATCTTATCTAACATGAAGTCCCTTCTAGACTGTCGAAGCAGGAATAGTACAGCTCTTTGTCGAAGCGAAACGACATCAACCCTCTGTCATCTACATCCCATCATTGAAAGGCTGGTGTGCAGCCGTCTCAGAAACAGCTCGGACTACTGTAAAGGCTATGCTCGACACACTTTCCGCAAATGATCCCATTCTTCTCCTTGCCGTTGTCGATGGATCTTTCCTGTCTCTACCCCGCGACGTCCGAGCATGGTTCGGGATGAATAAAGAAAACCGGATCGTCTTTACTTATCCAGATCCCGAGAAGCGACGGAAGTTCTTTGATGAACTTCTCGATGACATTCGAAGACCACCGACACAGTTCCCAGACGGAGTGAAGCGAAAGAAACGCGTGCTTGAGGAGTTGCCTATTGCGCCTCCACTGGAACCTCGGCAACCTACGGCCGCGGAGCTTGCATTACAGGAGGAGAATGACCAGCGGATTTTGACACTATTGAAATTCCGACTTGGGCCTATCCTGGCGGAACTGAAGAGGAAACATAAGCGGTTTACCAAACCCGCACGGGTAAGTTACACGTCTATATGACCGATGAAGTGTAATGTAATTAATACTTCATTCAGGACGAATACAACCTGTATCCTGACCAGACATGGGACCCATTCCTCGGACAAATGGCAGCGCCTGCTCCGCCTCAGCCTCCTCAACCGAATGGCATCATAACAATCGATGGCGTCGATGGTCATGTAGACGGTCAAGCGAACGGCACTCACGAGCAGCAGCAACAACAGCAGCCAGCCGAACCACAGCTCTATGAGGTTGATCTTGAGACAATGAGTGTTGACTTGTACAAGGGCAAGTTCCTCACACCCTCTATGTTCCTGGAGGAAGTCGGGAAGATGGTATACAACGCTGAAGTTCGAGCATATGAAGATCGTGATCGATTGTACAAGGCACAAGCAATGTACACTGCTACGGAAGTTAGCGTACAAGAGTTTGATCCAGCTTTCCGCTTGGAGTGCGAACGCATGGCGGGTCGTGAGATGAAACGAAGAGGACAACGACGTGCGGAGAAGGAGAAGATGAAGAGCCGAGCAGGATCTCGTGAGGGAAGTGTGAATGGACATGGGAGTGGTGGGGAGAATGGAGTGTTACGACGAAGCGCGCGGAATAACGGTCAAAAGCCGGAATTGGGAATCACGGACCCGTTGTTACTCGAGCGTAGATTAAAACGCCATCGGTCACAGGACGTGAACGGCGACGTACATGCATCGGGAGAGGACAGCGGAGGAGATAGGGACTCAAAGCGGTCGAAGCTGGATGCAATACCTGAAGATTCCGAACGGGACGAGCTTGATATTGTGGGTCCCACTTCTTCACAACCAAGACCACAGTCCGTCGTTCGGTTTGCACCTGTAAGCGATAGTATGCCGCAAACTCCGTCAAAAGGCAATCTTATCAATGGCAACTGCGTCCCTGAGCTCCCCACACTAGATACGATCGCAGAGATCAGCTCGCAGCCCCGTTCTTCTGGATTTGATCCGAATTTGTTGAATCCTGCAAGCCCTACGCAGCCTTTGCCTTCGGTGCAGAGTTTGATTGCGAACGACCCATCTAACGGCCCCGGACATGCCTCGTCTTCTAATTTCATGTCTGAACAGCCGACTTTTCCTTCAGCTGACAATTCCGGCCCTCACGACTTCCACATGGCTGAGCCAATCACGGCAGACGAACATCCCGTCAATCCTGGGTTATCCGACTCTCAAAACTTCTTCGCGCCAGAGCAGAATGTTAACGCTGCTTCGCTCCAAATCCCGACCCCACGTCTTTCGCCCTCTCCAGGGGCAGACCACCAGGCTACTCAAGCTATTCCAGACCAACAAGAGACGATGGTCATGGATGCCGAAACACCCGCACCCGTTCCAGTCGAACGCACACCATCCCCGCCACCCCCGCCGTTCCACGTGTCTTCCCCTCTCCTCCTGGATCTCGAAGCCAAGTTTGTTGAAAGAACAGACAAACTTAACGTCGAGCAACTCGAACAGCTCCGTGCAACAGCACTGAACAGCATTTGGCGACATAGGCAAGAATGGGATCGTGATGCGTGCGTTAGGGAGCTATTTGGTGTCATTGAAGAGTTTGTGGAGGAAGCCACTGATGCTGAAACCTTGAATGAAGTCGTGGATGATTTTACATAATTGGGTAATTTTCGTTTGGCATGAGATGAAAATGATATGGATGGCGTTGGACATAATGTATGTGCCAACTTCGGAGGTTTCTGTTCCTACCCCGTTTTCGTCTTTTCTTTTTGTTTCTTTGACTCGTCGATATATATTTGTAGAGTAGTGGTGTGTAACCTCTCTTGTAATCTCTATCTATTCCTATCAATGCAAAGATCTTCCAGGTTGAGATTCTAACGGACAATGAAGGGTATACAAATAATACAATACTACGGTTAATAAGTTAATTTCCATTAGGCGAGCATAGCAGAAATGGGTACAGAATGCATAGATATCATGTCGAGCAAACTTCCCGTCCCTATTTCATCACATTCATTAACAACTGACGGAACAACTGACGGCGGCGGCTGAAGCTGAAGATGCGGCTGCATTATTCGCTGCAGCGCTTGATGAACCTGTGATTATAGAAGAAGCAATCAGGTTGGTATGTGCTAAGGAACAGAGTTGCAAGCCCCCATGACTTACGATTGGCACGAACTTCTGCTTCGACAATGACACAGGTCACTATTTGTATCAGTATGGTAAGGAAAATCGCTTGGCCGAGAGTACAGAAATTGAGTTGTCTACGCACCTAAAATAAAATCAATTATCTCTTCGCTTCCTGGTGCAAGCTTGATATGCTGTGGACGCCGGTTGAAGACATGATGTGCATCAGCAAAAGATGCGAGCGGCACATCTTTATTGTCTGTTCTGTACAACTGGTCGGGGATGAAAGATGGATTATAAGTTGTTGTCGATGCTCTACCTGAAAGAGATGGGCGCTACGAACCTTCATACCATTGCCCGTACTCGCTTTCCAGACGTATTGCCTCCCATTGTTCGCAATAAATGTGCGCTTCCTGAAGGCACGAGGGAACGTTGGTCAATTACAAACTCGTTGAGAATAGAGTAACAAATTCGGGTGTAACTCACATCGAGCCCCAGCCCGAACGCTGCATAAATTCTTTCACCGGCACTGGTTCCCTATCCATTGGCGACCCAGGATACATCCGAATCTTGTCCTTGCGAAAGGACTTCCTTTCCCACTCTGCAATAGGCACACCTCTTTGTAACCGCGCATCCCATCTCTCAAACGTTGTAGTCCGATGTGCGAAGCCCGAGGATGTGGAGATTTTGTACAGGAGACCAAGCTGTTCGCATTGGACGGCGTTGTCTTGGAGAGAGGTCGATGTGAATACGAGCTGGGCAGTTTCATTTGGGATGGAGGAAGATTGGCCCATTTTTCGAGTATTGTGCTGAGTGAATATGCGAGGTAGGTACTGGGTACTTTTACTTCTAGTGTGTGCAGAGTGTTCATTTTAAGGTGCATTTTATAGTGTTTTTGCGAAACGGATGGCTGTGATGGCTCTGTTCATACGCTCCATGATAATTGATATGCGCTGATGCTGTACGATGGCGCAGTCCGAGCGCATCAAAGTGGTGGCAGTGTAGACTGTGGTATGGCAACACGTATGGCAAGTTAGGTAAATCTCTAGCTTCCGGAATACAGGTTTCATTTGTTAGATGAGACCTTGGTCCGTCGGGAATTACATTGACCGATGACTGGTGTTCCTAGTATACTGAGTACTCTCCCTGGTTCAGCTAAACATCACTAGTACTAGTAAAGGGACTGTTTGATCGGTCAGGTGAGCAAACAAGTATTGGTGTGTAGTAGATAGATAAACATGGTTCAAGCCCTCACACTGGCAGTAAAACAGAATAAAACTGTCATAGTAATACTCCGTCTGTGAAATTGTGTCCTGCTATCATATAATATATAGTATGGCAATAGTATTGACTGGCAGTGGAGACTATGTAGGGCAAGAATTCTCGCGTGGAATGCCTGGTACCTATTTGCATTCCATTCGGATGGGCTATTGGTGCGATGGCAATTACATGGGTTGCCCGTTTTCCCTGTCCCTTCCAAAGTTTATTCCAATAGTCAACAGTAAACATAGATTTATCTTATTTGAGAAAATAATAGTAGTTTATGAGCATACATAGACGGGTATATGGAATCCTCTGCGAGATATGGTTAGCCTGTATGGAGTAATCGTGGAATGGAGATTTCGATCAAGCAATCATACATAAGCCATTGGTGCTGCTGAAACCCACCTGAAGAGGTTAAAATTACTTGAAACAGTACACGCATTCGGACCTTGTCTACGATCCTGAATTATCTGCTTGCGCTTGCCCTATGAAAAATTATGAGACAATGGCTCCAATACCGAGTGTAGAATGCCACTTGTCCACCAATACACTTACTTCTCTTTTCGCGTCTCTTTTGCTCCAAAATAACACAAGTGACTAAAAAATAAATAAAATAAAGCACTATCCATTAGTATTGATACTCTTTTGAAATAGATAAACCATACGAACCTAGGACATAATCAACGATATCTTCACATTCGCGTGCGATCTTTATATGCTGCTTCCTCTTACGGAGTATATATCGTCGACTTGCAAAGGATGCAATTGGGACACTGTCGTCATCTGCTCGGTATAGCTTTATGCCATTTCAAGAGCAAGTGTGAGAAAGGCACGAGAGTATTATTGATGAACAGACACGCTTACCTTGAACGTCTTGTATGTTGACCAATAATATTCCTTTCCATCGCTTGCTCTGAATTTGCGGTGACTTCATTACAATGTACCCACCGAAGAATCGTACAGTCAATTTGAAGCAAGTAGAAGCACAAGAAAACTGTTGCTCACCCCCAGAGGAACCCACAGCGCTTCATAAATCTCCTCACCTTCATGGGACCTGTCGACTTACTTGAGTTAGGATAGAACTCAATCTCATCACGACCGATTTTCCTGTTCCAGACTGCAACTGTCCTGTTGTTCCTCTTGAAGGTTATTACAAATTTTCCCAATTTTATCGATGTGGAAATGTCGTAATTGATTCCAAGTTTCTCACACTTGAGTGTGGCGTTTTCAACCGACCAGCTGTGCTTGAATTCTAGTTGTGCATATTCGTTGGGGATGGAGGCGGTTATTCCCATCTTGTATGAACCTTGGTCTTGTACTTATGTTGAAAGTGACGGTCTCGTGCTGTACGAGTTGTTGACTGTACAGCTAAGGAAGTAAGTAGCGTAGGGAGCACTCTTCTGAGATAGGGTATCATATATCGTTGCATACCTGTGGCGAACATTGTGTGGGTGGATACTGTTCTGGCTCCAGGTTGGATTGGTCGGGCGCTCGGGAAGTCGCATGGAAAAGGAGAAACTTTATCACGTGTACACACCAATGAAGGAAAGACCAATTCTGGCACAAATATAGCGTTAAAAATGTCTCCGTTTAGTAAGAACGGTATAAGCCAAGGGAGCAAAATACTATTAGTAGCGTGACGCTGCAATTGGACAGTAAAACAAGGACACACAGGGAACACAGGGATCAGAATGTTAGGGCATGAACAATCGCCATACTCAACCGACACATAGTACAGGCATCAGTTCAGTTCCACACGACCTGCCGTTCGTCTTTTAGTTTCCCAGCTGTTGTGAACTGTACACCCTCCTGAGCGAGCATCTGTATCTTCCTCGAACACTGGCTGCCTTTTCTATTTTCTGTCCCCCATTCGCCGACAAAGCCTCCAAGCGACAGGTCCGATGCAATGATACGATGACAAGGTACAAAAGGTGCAAACGGGTTCTTGCGTAATGCTGATCCAACTGAAGTCGAAAGTACAGAGGGCCGATGAGGATAATTCACGCAAGAGAAGTCGAAACAGTTACTCACCAGATCGCGGGGATCCTTCACCGAGTTTTGCACAGAGATGTTTATACGTCGTTACCTTCCCACATGGAATTTGCCGGGTTAGGTCATATACTGCCCATTGGTGAGCAGTTAGTTTCTACACAAACACACGTGCAACCATCAGTCCGCGTCTTAGAAAAGCAATTAGTAGCGAAGAACGAGCGGACCTTTCCATCACTCGTTCTGTAGAGGTTGCGTTCTGCTTCGGTAGTGGGGAAGTGCACTTGTTTTTCGTCTGGTCGTGATCAATGAGTACAACTACGTTAGATTAAAGTTGTATGTATACCGTACTTTCAAGTGCTAGATCAATAGTCGGTATGACCTCCACCATTATAGCTTTATGCTTCATAACAGTGTTACTGGCGGGTTGTTTCAAGATATCCTTTGCCTGGATTGAACGGATAGCGGGCATGCTTGTGGTGTGAAAGAGGGACGTCTAGATCAGTGAAGAGGTAGTTTGAAGATACATATGTATATATAAGCAGTAGGCAGTCGACTCAGTCTGCAGTGACTCAGGGGAATCGAATGAATAATCAATTCAATCTAATAACGTTATGACAGAACGCGTCGGAGCCGATCACATTTTGGCACGAGACCGCGGCGCGACGCGTGGGATCACGTGTTGCTAATACGAAATTCCGCACCGTGGCTGCTCACGTTCAAGTTGGCCTCGTCTTTCTCTTGCAACAACATCCAACATGCCCTTCAGAATTGCTTCTTCGTCTCCTCCATCAGCTAGTACACCAAGAGAGAATCACAGAGGAATGAAAGTAACTCCACAAAGGACAGCTCTAGCGTCGATCAAACCGTCACCGACTTCACGACGGCCTGCGCTCGCAGAGAAACCCGTACCGCCTTCGCCACGCACATCTGCGCCCGTGCTCACAACCGACACGGAGAAGGTGGAAATCTCCCGGCTTCCGACTGCCATGATCAACGTTGAGTGCATTAGCGATGTTATGGCATCGAGACTTGCTATGTGCCTCCTCGGGCACGTCCTGTTCTTAAAAAGTCAGGTCCCATTGTGAGTTGCAGCTGCTGCTTTGCAGTAAATGCAGTTACGCTGATCCGATACTGCAGTCCAGTTGCTCAATTAATCAAAATGTCTCTCTCTAATAAGGTGCTTCCTCATCTCCAGATTGGTTCCTCCAACCACGCTCACCCAAATTACCTCAGGCTGATCCACGAACGAACAAGAAACAAGACGCTCTAATAGCGTCATTCGATCTGCTCTCCTCTCATCTTGGTTCTACATTTACTGCCCTCGGTTCAAAGTTGACAAATCGAAGCCACGTTGCTGACTTAGCCACGAGCCATCTAGCAATAATTCTTGGGCCTAGTGTGACGAGCGCAAATGCAGCCCGTGCGCGTGTGCTATTGGAAATAAAGGGACTTCACGTACCTCTCCGTTCACATGTAATGCCGCAGCTCGCGTGTACCGTTGTGAACAGTCACTTGAAGGAGAATGAAGGCAGTCCAAATTTGGGTAGTTCGTCGGAGCGTTCAACGCCGCTTAGCGAGAGATCTAAAGGTCTTCGAGTTATATCGCAGCGTCCTCCGCTCATGTCTCGATCTGACGAAAGCTCAGGCGAAGATGATTCAACCGACGGCGTTGCCGAAGCTCCTCCCGACTCTGACTCTGAATCCGAATCCATCATCGAGGACTCAGACTCTGATTCAAGCTCCGATGTCGATTCAGAAGAGCAATTCGACTCATCCGAAGAGGACAATTCCGAGGCGTCTCATGAGGTGACTGAGGCAGACTTATGTGCAGCTGAACGGCTCCTCTCCCGCACGCTAGCCGTTGCGAACGCGGATCCCGAGCTCGGTATGGCTGCTGATATTCGTACGTCTTACCACTCTGCATTCCAAGCACTCCATGAACTGACGGTTTCACCGATTGATTGCTAGGTCCGACACAAACACGCATCCTTCTGCGCGCACCACGTTGCTTTTCCCATCCAGCATGGATCCCGCACCAAAATTTGTCTCGTGATATGGATCCTCTTCTTCGTGAATTCATCGAGCTCCCTTCCTCGTCCACTGCCTTACACGACATCACTAACGCTTCCCCTATTCCGGCGAAGGCAAACGAGAAACGGAAGGTACATAAGGGTGTCAAGACTGATTACGTTCGTGTGAGTTGTCGAGGTGCAGCTAATATACACACGGAGACTGGTGGATCTACAGAGTGCCAGGAGGAAGGGGATGCCGGCAAGAGTGAAGTCGAGGACACAAAAGACGATATGATATGGTGGAGCTGGGACGGGAAGCTCGAGGGCTTCACGGATTTCTAAACATAGCCGCATACAGCACGATGAAGTAACTGATCATTAGTAGAAGAAAGACTGCCTACATCTGTCTCGACGCATCTGTTCATTCTCGTCATTGTACGGACACAGACCCATTTACTGCCTCCCCGTGCCATGTGGAATGGTTCCGGAGGCTCACATCCCGCATATGACCCGGCACACCATCGATGATATCCATGTCAACCACATTTTTATTGCCCGCAATTCTCACTTCTCCCAATAACAGTTCTCCAAATCTCATTATGCAACATTTTATTTTACTCCTTCCCCTCCATCATTAACATATATTGCATCTGGCCCGGAATTGCATCACGGCATCACGATACCACAATCGGATTCAAGGGACCCTGTACTGTTGCTGTATTTTTGCATGACTTTGTGTTCACTTCTCGGCGCAATTTAATGTATAGAGAGCATTTGACTCCTTCCTAGCTAGTTTGCTTTGTTCATCTCTCTACGTGTACCAAGGTTTACCCCAAAATACTCACCAACGTTATGCAATGCACAAATCATTGTTCTTTCCTGCTGCACTCGAATAAAACCTATTCTGTTCTTCCACGAAGCTCCACTAGATATTTTGATAGGTAATGTAGCCGGAGGATAAATCTGAGTGAACGAGTTATAAGCCTAGAAGTATTATTCCAAACTATGAACATGCACGTGTACTAGATATGCATATGAAGAAATGGCGAAGAAAAAATTGCAACATGCTCAAGAAGATCTGAGAGCCAGAGTGTAGATGGAGGCGTCGCTATTAATTTTTTTTACGTATGTGGGTCGACTTCTTTTGCGTGCGCGTGTTTTGAGTGAGCGTTGAGAAGCAGTTTGCCTTTGCTTTTTGCTAGTAGGACGTGGCAGTCTGGCTTCGTGCCACGCTTCTCGACCCTCTTGCTTCAAAATTAGCCGCTGAGGATAGAATCTAGAATCTTCCACGTCCATTCGGTCCACGATAAGGTCCATAGTCTGGTGGAGGACGGGCTACGGATGTCCGGATTGATGAGAATAAAGAAAGGACAAAGAACGATTATACGTACTCGGACGCGGAGGAGGCGGTGGCGACCGTTCTCGCATCGTATTTGAGCCTGGGATGACTGCGTTGCGAAATAGTTGCATAAGGTCATCTGTGCGGAATACGGGACCTTATGTAATAAATTTAATAACACCCACACAATCGAAAGGCGAAAATGTACCGACCATCAAACGAATTGGGCGGAGGCAGCTGGCTAACAAACCAATTCAAGATTTGCGGAAGAACGGGCCTCGCTGGCTCGTCCCGGTCATACCTTCTTGCAGGCGACCTCGTTCGATCCCTCTCCCTATCAATCCTAACAACTCTACCTCTATCTCCTCTCTCCTCATCCCCCCATGCGGGACTTCCATATCTCCTACTTCCGGAGGGAGCACCCCATCGGTCTTTTGTCAGTGGAGGCGACCCATCACGTGGACGCTTGTGCGGAGGCTTCGGGACTTCCTCACGTCGCAGACGATCTCTTTCTCGTTCACGATCTAGACGTTCGGGAGACATGGTGCGTTTGACGGTAAAGCTTGCCTGCCCACCATTGTTATAAATCTGCGAGGTACCGGTGGAGGGTGGAGGGACTCCGAGAGTGATAGCAGGGATGGTATCACTACGACTAAGGGAGGAAGCGTCTTTAGCCTCTTTTCGGGCTCGGGAGGCGCCCAGGTCCCGGTTGGCAATACCGTCGATGTTTGCATAGAGGTGCCTCTGAGCAAATCGTTTGATCGGAGGGTCTTGAAATCAACTCATTAGGGATACTTATTTCTAAGATAAATATTGGGACCGACCATTTGGATAGACTTCAGCCATACGTTTTTCGAGCTTCAAGGCTGCTTCTAGATTACCGTATTGATACTCGTACCTTGCCCAACGCTCCCACAGAGGGCGCGCTTTGTCTGGAGGGAAAGTTCCAACGGTGCGTTCAAACAAAGCACGTGCGTCTTGAAACACTGCATCAGCAGTGAAAGCAAACCAGTTATCAAGTAGTTTTGCTCACTGTTCTCATCATTCACAGACATGAGGAACGTCAGATATCGCACCACAAAGTCAATCTCCTGCGAAAACCTGTTCATTGCGACGCTCAAAATTCTGTTAGCAACCGTTGGCTGCTTGGCAACGTGGTACTCCATGTGCGCGGCTGCTTCAAACACTTCCCAAGGAGTGAATTTGTCTTTTCTTGCTTTTTGAAACACCATGCGACTTGCTTCGAGGCCTTCCGAACGCATCGCGAAACGGATGTACAAAATATAAACGAGTCCATACTCTTGCTTGCGCTCACGTAGCTGCGTTGCGAGAGATGCGTCTTCGGAAGAGGAAGCGGACGAAACTGACATTGAGTGTTCTTTGTTGAGACCAGCACTTAACGGCGGCGCTGCTTCAGTTTGCTCTGTACCCTGTTCAACCGTACTTGCCGTACCTGGAGGAGCTTCCATGAAAGACGAACTGTTGGAATTGGCGGTGATCTTTGCGTCCAGTGCTTCGATTTCTTGCAGCACACCTTGTAACAGCTTTGTGAACGTCGCATGCACTTCGGCATTGTTCTTCGCGAGTTCCATGTTCTCCGCCAGAGCAAAGTTGAGGACGAAGCTTGTCGCGTTTGCTTCAATGCCAGCCTTGAGGATTTGCAGCGCTTCATCGGTACGACCAACACTGTTCGTCCATGAATATGCCATGAACCAGATTTCGCTAAAGAATCGCATGCGGACAACTGCCTTGCGGTAAACACCCTGGACACGGGTAATGAGCGTAGAGCGTTCTTCAATCTCGAATGGATTGCTTTCTTCCCACTTGAGGTATTGTTTCCATGCTCCGACAAATTGACGTTCTGTTGAGTTATACGTGGGCTTATGTGGCAAGTTGAGTGGTGAGCGGGTGCCACTGCCAGTTCCTGGTGGAGGGGCAAAGAGGATGCCGAGATGCTTGCGAAGCTCACGCAATTTTGTTCGGGCTGTCATGTATGCCGGTGTCAGATCTTGCAGGAACTTCTTGGCCTTATTAAGCAGTTAGTCTACCCATTCTTCGATTCATAAATACGGGACACACAGTTATCTTGTTCAAGCCGTTTTCGAATGCTTCGTAGTCCTTCCATAATGTCTCAACATTCTCGAGCGGGATTTGAACAGCACGTTGATAAATCTTGCGCAATTGATCCATTTTTTGCTGTTCTTCCCAAGTCGAGTTTGCAGGGCCAGATTTGACAAACTGAATGTATTCTGCCCATATATCGCCACTGTCTTTATCTTGTCCTACATGCTGAAGAGCAAAATCGTATGCTTTTGCTACGGTATCACGCGTCTCCGGTCCGACATTCAACCGCCTTGCGAGTTGCCGTAAGCACTGAGTCGACGAAAAATATGGCACACTGACCTCACGTAGATGATGTAGAACTTCCACAGGTCGACGGAGACAGAGGTTCTCAGGAATCGAGCGAACAGGGCTTCGGCAAACGGGAACGTCGCCTGATTGACCAAGAAATGATTCAGGTACGAAATTTGCGCGGACGACTTTTAATGGCGTCAACAAGACAGCGGATATAATGCATTTCAGATCAGACAGAAGTCAAATCACACTGAACTGGAATTTGAGGAATAATAAAAACTTTACGGACAGTATTTGGATACTTTTGCAGCAGAGCCTCGTACGCCTCCTTAATCTTTTCAAGGTCGCCAGACTCCTCAGCAAAATCCAGCAGAGCGTCCCACGCTGACTCATCATGTGGGTTGCCTTCTGCAGACTTGAGTTTCTGTGACCACTCAGATACTTGCGGTTGCAAGGCGCCGTCGTTTGCTTCAACTATTGGCTGCGTGTCATTGGTCTGTGGCGGTGTTGCAGCGTCCATCTTGCTATTTCTCTAGTTTTTGCGTTTCTTGAGTTGCAGACAAGAGCGATACGTAGACTGTTGCAGCCTCGTGTTCTGCGAAATACCGTGTCAATTGTCCTGTATGTACCGCATTAATGAGCCGACGACGTTCACCTATTTTGTTCCGCGATTGCTGCAACCCGTGAGTCTGGCCTTGATGCTGAGTAGCCTTGAATCGGACGGACAGGAAAAGGGAGGAAAGAACGGGTTGTGGTCGACGACACCAAGGCGCGCGTGCTGTTCGTGTTGACTGTATATATGTTCAGCCCTCCTGCCTTATTTGGAGTATAATAGCCATATTTGGGGATGTCGGTTTCTTCGCGCGACTTGTAGTCTGCAACTGCCACTGCCACCTCTCACCTCTCCCGTCCCGTGGCATTCTTCCGCGTCCAACGCCCCGACTCAAAGCCCATGGTCTGACCTTACTGACTCCCCTCAGCTTCTTTCATTTGCCTCTTACTCTGGTTTATGGTATCTTCGACTACTACGCTCCAGTCCTAAACCATGGCTTCAAGCTCCTTTATGCCTGAGAATCAATCTTACGCCGAGGCCAACTCTAGTTGGGCCTCTCTTGTCATCGATCAAGTCCAAAACTCAGTTGAAGAAGAAGACTATAGTACTATCTTGGACCTTGACTCCGATATTGGACACCGGAGCAGCTCCATTGATATGTAAGCAAGCGCCTTTGTATTGAGCGACCGTGATGTGGAACATTTATACTTCCCTCGTACAAGGCATGGGCGGTCCAAACAGATCGTTGACACAAAGACATTCGAACAAATACTGCAAGTGTTGGTCCAGCAAGGAGCTGCCCTTGACAGTCTACGCTCGGAACTCGATCGGTCCCGTCAAGAACGACGTCATGAACTCGAATATCGTGACGCGCGTCTACGCTTGGCTGGAAAAGAACTACATTCACTGCATGCTGCCAAGGACAGATCAGACACAGAGCTTAAAGCTCTCCTTGAAGAACTTGCAGCTTACAAGGCATATGACGAAGAACCTGTTTCGCCTGGCGTATTATCCATGGAGGATCACAATCGTATTGTTCTCCGCATCAAAGACGATGCCCGAGCACGGGTCGATAACATAGAAGCTGAGAAGTCATATCTGACACTACAGCTGTCAAGACTCCAAATACAGGTCGCACAGTTACAGAACCAAATCGACGACAGGAGCTATCCTGAGGAAGTTCTCGAAGAACTCACCAAAACGTTGCGTCATACAATCATCGAAACCTGCCAAAGTGGTAAGTTATAGCGGTATTATTTTCCTTTCCCTTTAATTGTTCACATTTGAAACCGTAGTGGATGTCGAATCCCAGATGGCGAAACAGGTGCGTCAGGAGGATGCTCAGCGTTTTGTCCTATTAACATAGTCCGAAAGGCTCTTGCTGCGGCAGAGGAGCGCTTGTCAACTCGTGGGTGCATCATATCTTGATTGGGACGTCCCTATAATGCTTTTTTTATTAGTTGAAAGACAGATAGAGGCGGCGCATGGTGTTAGTATCGTTAACTAGTGGTCGTTGGGTACAGCTAATTTGTCTTAGGCTCGAGTAGATGCGGAAGATCGTTATGTTCATAGTGAGGCCAATATTCCACATCTGACATGATTTATACCACTGAACTTATTTGTACAGTTGAGCAACAATATGAAAAACTTCATGAAGTATACTTGAGCTTTTTCTCTCCCAGAATGTTTTTGTCTTAAGCCACTTTTCAGGAACATGAAGCCGTCCAGGAGCGACTTGCAATACGTGAGTAAGTTCCGTGCGACGGCAATTATTTGGCTCTGATGATGATTTCTTAGTCGAATCTACCCAAGGCCAACCTGATGAGGTCAGAGGAAACCAAATGAAAGATTAAATACTTTACCCATTATCTATCCTTAGACTCAAATCAGGGAGTCTCACGAGGAAGAGGAGGAGTGTTCGTTATATTGTCGATCTTGTTGACTTTTGCCTGATTTTTTCTTGCTTCACTTAATTGCCAGTGAGAACACAGTTGGCAGATATCCAAAAGAAACACGAAGTTGGTACGTGGACCGGATCATACTGCATATCGAGAGGGGGCGGGACGACTGATTGTTTGGCCCAGCTTTGATGGATTGCGAACAACTCCGTACAGTACGCGTTCTAGCGAGTACTGGTGACAAAGTCTGATTGCGGCATTTTCGTTAGCTACTAAACGAGGCAGTAGAAAAACGGACGACTCGTAAGCGCTCAGCCTATTATACATGAATTATTTGAGCCTAATAATCGCACACTTTAGTAGCCGCCGATGTACAAACAATGAACAATGTAAGCTCGAGTACCATCCAATATTAGGGTGCATTCCAACGGACCCAAAATAGGCTCTGTCACTTGCGAAAGATCAATTATCGCATGTCCAGAAAGAGCGTGATACGGGTAATTGATTTACAATTTAGATGATTGTCGTATCGATCAATTGTATTCTCTCGCAGCCCTTTCAGAAGTCAAATTGCTTCGCTCCGTACGCCCCGACTCTCCCGTAAAAGACAATCCATCAACTAACTCGAACATAGAATATGGACGGGTCTCAAGAGAAAGCTACCACCTGTGAGGCCCTTATTACGATGTACTCGGAACTATTTTGACAAAACCCTAATTAGTGGCTACGGAAGTTGAGAAGCTCAAGCAAGTACGTTGGCTTAATCTCGGTATTATGTTTGCTTTAGCCTGAATCAACGATTAAAGGAGCTGGACATAGCAAATGAACAGCGTGAACGAGGTCGGTAGCTAGATTAACTTTAGGCTCTGAAGAATTTCATAACTCTGGTATCTCTTTAGCCGAGCGTATCTCGAACGAAATTGAAAATGTGAGTTCAATACGAACGCATGTCTACTTCTACAGCTGATTTTCTTTAGGACCTACGTACCTCGAAGGGAAAGAGTGACGAGAGTACGCAATAAGTCTCCATCCATCTATTTCGGCGACCAAAAGCTAATTATGCCTCCCAAGTGAACAAGGCGCTTGAGCTGGAGCGGGAGGTGCGCTTGTTTACTTGTCTAAGTTTACAGATGCGTAATTGGATTCTATCCAGAACTTGAAGGCGGCCGCTCATCGCCAAGCCGAATGTAAGTCCTTTTCAATCAAAAATTCGTGATTTGCTGAATTAAAGGATCTCCTTTAGTGGTAGAGGAACTCAAGTCTTTGAAAAATGTAGGAGTATAGATGAATTAGACTTCTAGCTCCCGCTGATGTCATTCTACTTTTTGTTGGTAGTCTCACGCGAGTGAACTTGCCACCAGAGACGAAATTGCAACAAAGGGTATGTTCGAAGTCACGTACAGAAGAGACGTATTCACCAATTTTTGTCCTGGTGTAGCCACTCGCGAGGTTGAGGAGCTACAAACAGTATGTTAAGCAGTTGTTCGGAACTTTTTATTTTCTAACTGTCGATAATGCAGAACCTCAATGAAGCAACGCAAAGAGTAGGTGCACTAGAGGCTGAGTTGGAAGCGGTGTCCAGGCATGCCACGGAACGTATGTGTGTTTGCCCTTATTCTTGAGGTTTATTTAGATTCCCCCAAGGTGACCGATCAACGTCGTCAGAGCTAGAAAACCTTCGATCCTCTTATCAAGAGGTAGGCGAGGCTCACAGCCAAGGTATGAATGTGCGTGATTCTGTAGGACCATGTTAATCATTACTTTAGCGGAGGCACATCTACAAGAAGCGACGAGCAACCTTGAGGCCATGGAGAAGAATCATTCTACACGTGCGTTAGCAAATGATACTCAATAGATATCCAAACTAACCTCAATCCAGTTAAAGTCCAGCTGGAAAAAGTGGAAGCAGAGCTCGAGGACGCAAGTAAGAAGTACAGCGAAGGTTTGTTTCAGATTTACTTCGTGACGTGCGTTTCTCTAATTCGACATTCATAAGCGGTGTCCGAGTTAAAGCAAGCCATTCAAAACAAAGAGAATGAAATAGAGCAAACCAGAAGGGATCTACAGTCGGAAATTATTCGCCTCCAGGCAGCCTTAACAACGGCTGAGTCAAGTCTTACCACCGGTAGTTTTGGCGTTCTAGAGACTTGGACTGCTTCTTACTATGATTCTCAGAGAGATCAATGCATGATGGCGTGGTCAAATGTCTAAATGACGACAAAAGCGAACTATCTAAAGGTAGTGGATGCTTCCTCCGAAGTAACCCTGTACTTACATAAACCGTTTCACAGAGGTTGAACGGCTCACGTCCGAACTCGATGACGCTGAGACCCAAATTACGAATTGTGAGTCAGCGTCTCTGCTTAAAAGCGAAGGTTTAACACCGTTTCAGCACAAGTCGTGAAAGACAGATATGAAGTCCAGCAGAAGCGGATTAGTGATCTAGAGGGATCACTGAAGGCCGCGAAGAAGAGGCATCGTGAAAGTGCGCAGACTGACCCTTGTAACGGAATAATCTCAAACGCGTAAATTTCTAGGTCTACGGGAAGACGAAAGCTTGAGATTGAAGTACGCGGAAGCAGAAACAGGGCGTGCAGCAGGTATATTTCAGACTTATATATTTGCTTTGGTATAACGATTGATTACCCCGTTAGCCGAGATGGACAAGGACAAGTATCGACAAGTATGTGTGCAGCTCAGAGTGCCAATGACATCATTAATTATGCCTTCACAACAAAAGAAATGGCTGAAGCTGAAGGACGAAACGAAGAAGATAGCAACACTGGAATTGAATTTAAGAACGAGTAGGCTTTTTCTTTGACCGTCGCATTGTCGGTGACTAATTTTCCATTTTCCCTATGCAGTGAAGGCTCAACTGGACAAAGTTCAAGAGGTCAGTAGTCGCAAATATACGCAACGCTAGGTTCTCACTAATCATGAATGCAGAGCACGAATGCGACGAGGGACGAAAATGAAAAGCGTGAGCAGCATTTCTTCACGATCTCGAACGTCATTGCTGATGCGCTTGACTAGATACTGGTGAAATAAATCAATATAAGGAGGTAATAAACTCACTATTTACTTCTACGCTGTATCGTTAAATATTCTGCAGGAGATTGCAGGGCTGCGTGCCGAAAATGATCAATTGATTGCAGCTCGCCGGCAAGTTAGTAACCATCATTTATTGTTAGCTAGTCTTTCTGACTGCACTATTGGATATCCAATCTCCAGATGGCAGCTATATACGGTCTCCCACCCGAAGCATTACAATCCCCTCGACGCACACCGACACAAAACGCACCTGGCTCCCCGGTCACAAGGAGTAGAAGTTCTCTGTCGTTGTCGCCCTCGACAAGCGTAGCCCCAAGTCATCTCGTAGATTTTCCTATTGTTCCGCTAGTCTCTGGACCTCCGATAAAACGTAGGAGGATCTCAAGGTTGTCTGCAGCACCTGCTGCAGTTCCGTCAGACGGTCATATGTTAGGGTCATCGCCTACATCGGCGATTCCCCTTGATGACCCAGACGAGCGATTTGCATCGCCCTCGACATCGATCCACAGGGACCAAGTCGGAATCGATGAGGAAATACCGAGCCACGTCATCAGAATTTACGAGGCGTTCGCAAAGTTGGCGTCGTGGAACAATAATGAAAATCGGCCCATTTGCGGATTTTGCGAGTAAGTTTGATCCACTGCAAAAAATGTTTTCCATGAAATTTGCAAATGTCAAATTGACTTGCTTGCAGGTTACATGACCGCCATCACCAGAAAGATCGTAGGGGCCCTATTAATGTTGATCCTTCCATCTATCCAATTACCTTTTGGAACCACTGTCTTATGCGTCACAAAAATGCTTTGAGGCCTGGTTTTGATACTTGGCTCAAAGAAGAAGGATACAAGGTGATTGTCGAGAATCGCTCGAACAGAACGGAAGATCTAACCACGTGCCCGTCATATTAGTATTCTGAAATTTTTAAACTTGGCGATTCCCCTGCTTTGCTCGCAACATTCGTTTCGTGGAAAAAATCCGAGACGACCTACGTATGTGGATTATGTCAGTGAGTCAATCCTTCATAATTCTTTCCCACATGTATGTCTCTTAACCGTTTTCTCGTCGAGACTTGCAAACGGCCGTGGCAATCGTGAGCATCTCGATTACGATCCTTCTGACAAGCCCGGAGCCTTCTGGAATCATTGCCATGAAAAACATGCGGAGTTTTGGAATCCTGCTAGTTGAACGTCCTCCCCTGCTTGGGAAACTTGAAAGTACCCTGGCTTGCTTCCCGTCTTTTGCGCCATTGATTGTCTTGCATGCAACGTCACTTGGTTCTACTTTATATTTTTGTGTAACAATTCTTGCAAAACCGTTCCAAATACAATTTATCGAGATAATTTAATTCGTGATTATTCAAACTCGAGTGAGGTGTAGTTTTATTGAATTTTTGATACAGAAGAATACATAAAACATATTATTACTCCTACGGAAATACCATGTACCGTACTCGAAGGAGAAATTGAAGGTAGACGAAAGAGGACAAGGCAATAAATCACAACGTCCTTTCGTAGCTGTACGAATAGGCTTCAGAAGTTATCGAAGGACCGAGACGTCGAAAAGGATGTTTATCGTGAATAAGGATGATATGTGTGTCCCCTTTGTGTCCGCTGAGGACCGAGACCTTGGCCAGTTGCACCTCTCGGACCTCGAGGAGCATTCATAGGTCCGCCGCCCATCATACCTCCGCTGCCCATACCACCGCCCATACCGCCTCGGTTTCCCATAGGTCCCATAGGTCCCGCACCCATCGTCATCATACCAGAGCCGCTACCCATACGTCCCATCCCACCCCCATTACCTGCACCCATACCCATACCCCCCATGCCACTCATGCCACCCATATTTCCCATTCCTGCGCCCCCCATCATGCCCATACCGCCCACACCACCGCCCATCCCCGCTGCACCTCCAAACTGCTGGAACATGCGCGTATACAGCTGGGCGAGCGCCTGTGGGTCGAATGGAGTCCCACTGCCTCCTGCCGCACCTTGTCCCCCACCTCCTGCACCTGTGCTACTCACCGCTCCCGCTTGTCCACCTGGAAAGCCTCCTCCAGAACCGGCGCTATAAGCGGAGCCGTTGGCTTGTCCACTGTATCCACCTCCACTACGATAATTCCCACCACCTTCGCTACCCGTGCCATCGCGCTGGTGCCTTGGTTGGGCAAGCTTGACATCAATCTAAAGTAAAGCAGAAGCGAGAGGAAATGAGTACAAAACATGCTTAAAGATATCCTCATCACATACAAGTTTTCCGTCAATCTCGAGTTTTCCGAATCCCAAAAGCGGATCTACATTTGTATTCTCGAACGAAACAAAGCCAAAGCCCTTGCTTCTTCCTGTTTCTCGGTCAAGCATGACTGTCGAGTCGATGACCTTGCCGTATTGCGAGAAGTAATCCCGCATTGATTCTGAGGTCACAGTCCCCGCAAGCCCGCCAACGAATAGCTTTTGTGCCCGCTGATGTTCTTGTCTAGGAATCGCGCGCTTCGGATCAATCTAATACAAAGTCAAAACTGACTTGACAAAGAATTTTTTTCTGTTCGGCAACGTACAATTTTACCGTCTAAAACGTGTTCGCGGACCATTACGGCATTCACAGAAGCCGGGTCTTCAAAGGTTAAGAACGCGAAACAGCGGGAGCGTCCTGTAGCATCTCTCATAATAGTACAAGCTTCGACTTTTCCGAACTGTTCAAAATACTTCTTAAGGCCCTCTACGCAAACAATATTTTAGTCCTACTCTGCCAAGCAAAAAAATGAAGACTAGTTAGCTACCATCTGTCGTATCCCAATTCAATCCACCGATGAACATTTTCCTGGACATTTGCAGTAAGTCATACTGTTCAGCAGCAACCAGATTGGAGCTGAGCGATCAGAGTTGAAAGGCAGGGGAAACATCATCGTATTCTTTCGGCTGGCTATTGCGCTAGATACGCTAATCATGACACGAAAGGCGCAGAACAGGGAGCTTGTCTGTCTGTCTGTCTGTCTAGGGAAGTCGATCGTAGCCTAGCCTAGCCTAGTCGAAGAGATAGACGCAAGTCTACGGAGTAGCTACAAAGCTAATCTCGAAGTATGGAACGAATGCACACGACGTGCATCGTGAGAGGGTAACTATCACGATACAGCTAATAGCTATTGTCCGCAGCAGTCCGTACAGTCGAGCAGACCGCACTTACGTTTTCCCGTCCCAACCCGAACGCTCAGAGGATACTAAACACTACTATAGTACTCACCCTTCATCCTTCATCTCCGATGGCCGTACGTGCCGATCTACAACTTGAAGAGAGGAAATGGTAGACACATCGTCATCATGCTGGGGCTGAGTCCGATAGCCGTGGTCTGCTCGTGAAGAATAGTCTTGACTGAAAGACTCATACGATTGTATCGGTTGTGGAGCATTCCCATTCGCAAACGAAGGAATTTGTAATTCTTCTGATCTTGTTGCTGATGGAGGTGGTGAAGGAGACTTGGTCTTTGTTGTGTCTGTCGAAGTTACTGGAGCTGTGGAAGACGTTGTGGTTTTTTCATGCTCCTGTGGTCGCATCCTTGACTCATTTGATTCCTCGACGGGTACAGCAAATTCATTGTCGTCACCGTAGAGATCTGAGGCAATTCCTATCAGTGAGAACCACACGGACATGCATCACTCGCTTCACTTGCCTCCATAAAGGTCAGTATCGAGGTCGGACATGATTGAGTTGAGTGAGTGAGCAAGTGGAAGAGAGAGCTCGAGACAGTGCAGGTGACTGTGCTTTGTCATTTTTCTGATCAACATCGTGTGATCTGATTTCTCCATTTGGTAATTCCATCAAACTCCTATCATCATATTACATAATATCACAAAATAGCGAAAACCTTTCTCAGTTCAGTTGCTAACACCGACCACATCATCGTCTTGTTGTACATGCACCATCCGCGTTTTACTGTTGTAATAAGCCCTTGACCATGCCAACTATTTCTGATCAAGAACCCCACTCAACGCCCTCGCACCCAAACGTCTTCAAGTCTCTCGCGGAACTAGATGACTGGACCTCAAAACCAAGATATCAAACCAAATTAGAGGGTCTCCTGGAATATACGCCACGCAGTAAGCCTGACAACCCTTCTCACAGAAATTCTGGGAAACTCCTGGTACTATCTCGGTGTGACTACCGAATATGATGTTAAATTCTAATATGCTCTCAAGGTGTGCCATGACTACAAGGCAAGACGCGCGGCCCGTTACGTTACACCAGAGATATCTGACTAGATTTTCAGGGCGGCTACAGCGAAGGCCCTTCATCTTTGGCATATACTTTTAATTTTTGGGATCTCTGCGACACATTTATCTAGTAAATATAATAATATGGAAGAACTCCAGACTAATGCGCTCACCACCGACTCTGATTAAATAGTTTTTCGCATCATCGTGTGACCATTCCTCCACCTGGATGGGTTAATGCTGCTCACCGACAAGGTGTCAAGATCCTTGGAGTGCTGTGAGCATCAGTGAACTCTTCTTCCTTCTAGGTCTTTCATACCACTTGTTGCAGGATCTTTGAACATGAGCAGTCTATGGAGGACACACTTCGTCTTTTCCTTGGAAAACTGCCAAATTCTAGGACAAGACCTCCGGCATTGCTCATCGGTGATGGTCTCCCAGTTTCCCGATACTATGCTCGCATCCTTGCAGACCTTGCCTATGAGCGCGGATTTGACGGCTATCTACTCAACTTCGAGTATCCACTTCCTGGAAGGGCCAATCAAACACGAGCCATAGAAACTTGGGTCAGCCTCTTGAACGCGGAACTCAAACACAAAGTCGGTGGTCATGCTCAGACAGTTTGGTAAGTGTCCGTTATGGATTACCTTGTTGTTCGTTTACTGATGGCTATGATGCAGGTATGACAGCGTCATTGTTACCGGCGACTTGCGTTGGCAAGACCGTCTGAACTCTCGGAACGTCTCATTCTTCCTAGCGTCGGATACTTTTTTTACAAACTATACCTGGCCTCCTTCTTTCCCTGCTATCTCTGCACAGTACCTTCTTGGCCTCGCGCCAGATTTGTTCCAAGGTAGCAAGAAAACTCTGCAAGACATATACATAGGCATTGATGTCTGGGGCCGCGGTTGTCACGGAGGTGGTGGATTTGGATGCTTCCGCGCTGCAGAACATATCGATCCAGCGGGCGTAGGGTTGAGCATTGCACTTTTCGGGCCCGGCTGGTCTTGGGAGAATGATGAAGGAAAGGATGGATGGAGTTGGAAGACATGGTGGGAACGCGAACGTACGTTGTGGGTTGGTCCTGCGATCGAAGGTGCTCATGTAGAAGTACCTGATGCTCCACAACGTGATGGAGAACCACCGTGTCCACATGGAAAATTCAGGCCAATTAGCGACTTTTTCCAGAGTGCGCCATCTATTAATCCTAACATTTTGCCATTTTATACGTCCTTCTGTCCCGGAGTTGGTCATGGCTGGTTTGTCGAGGGTAGACGGATGATGCACAAGAATAACGGTTGGACAGATATTGATAAACAGACATCGTTGGGTAACTTGCTATGGCCGAGACCTAGAGTCGATTGGGAGGGGACAGATCTGAACATTCCGCTTCCAAAAACTTCGACTATATTGAATTTCGACGATGCATTTAACGGGGGATCGTCCGTGACCGTCAGACTTACGGGTGAAGGTGGGTCCGAAGAAGAGCCCTCATTCCGATGTTTCTGGATCCCGGTACAATCCATTGCGCTCACGTCGGGTAGTCTCTACGAGGTTGAATTAATTTACAAGATATCTGCCATTGGACACGAATTCGACCTCGCTTTGTCCGTCAAGGGAAAATCAGATGTGGATATCACTCCGTTGACATCTTCAGAGCTCGAGAGTGGTTGGAACAAAGTATCTATTACTTGCAAACCCAGTGGTGATCTGGAACCAGATACTCCAGCGAATGTAGGAGTTATCCTTGCCATGGCGTCAGAAGATGGATCTCTTCCTTACACTATCGATGTCCAACTTGCTCAGCTTAGTATCACCCCGAAGGCAACTCTACAAAACTTGTCACCTTACAAGACTCAGATCCTGTGGGTAGACTGTGTGCGAGATGCAAATTCTGCAGATGTGTTATTGATCACCTGGGACGCGTGCATCACATACACAACACCTGCGAGTCTCCGCGCAGAAGACCTTATCCCAGAGGTCCCACGCCCGCCGTGGGTCCTGGATCGCTCCGCACATTGGTTCCCTCGTTTCCGTTACGCAAATATTTACGTAGAAGCACGTACACCCGCAACCGGTATACGCCCATCAGGGTCAGCTATTTTCCTTGGAACAAGTGGATGGGGTTCAGGAGCTACAACAGGTGTTGGGCTTAATGGTTTCGTAATAGAGACAGGCACACTGCCGAATGAGTTGAAAGAGAGCACAGTACGGTTCTACGTGCAGGGAGTGACAGACAGAGGTACCATTCTCCCTTGGGAGTCTTGTGCTTTCGTAGACTTTGCGTGGTAGGAGATATATGAAAGAGAACCTTGTAATTGATTCAAAATTACATCTGAAGTGTATATAGTGTATAGAGACCTGTAGTTGGCGTATGTATGGTAAATGTGTTTGCTCAATGATGTACTCCGGTGAACTCCGGAAAATGCTATGTGATCGTCCCTTTTCCGTAATGCTTTGCCTACATCAACTACTTTGCAACGACCTTGGACACTGATTAGCGTCATCACTTACCGGGAAAATCCGACAGGAAGGGCGAAGCAATATTGCTATTTAAAAATGCAATGCAGAAGACGACCCTCTGCGAAGTTGCTGTTGGCAGTATGCTTAGAAGACTTAGTTACATACGGTCAAAGCAGAAAGACGCTCCAGAAATTCTTTTCGACGTAGGAGAATCAAATAGAAGCTCTAGTTCTGAGGCGGATAGGAAAAAAACAAACAAAAAGAATCAGGGGAATGACTCTCAGAGAAGACAAAAAGAAGACAATAAGGACGTGGAATATCTTACTAGAAGCTTGACCGCACTGCAAAGAGGCCTTGACAGCTGTAAGTAGGAGGTAAACTTGTGCAAATGTTAATATTATTTATACTTATTGAACAATATAAGGCATGGAGACTTTCTTTGGTGACAAAGAGTATATACCTGGTAAGCACCGTGATGAAATAAGTATTAGACCGGCACACACAAGTGAGAAACAATGCTTTAAGTAACTGCCTGTAAACACAACAATATACTGACTAACACACTACAGGTTGGAAAAACTGTCCAGCCAAACACAACTGCCCTCATCTTTCTGCTCTTACAATCCCGGTAGGTAGAGGAGATTATGATGATGAGAAAGAAGCAAAGCATGACTTGTATAGAGAAATGCTACAAATTGTTCATAATCATATTAATGATTATCACTCCCACAATGGAAACAGTGCTTCAGGCTGGTTTGAAGCTGTAAAAGAAACAATTGAAGAAAAGTTGAATGCAATGAAAAAACAGGATCAAGAATTTTTAGATAAAGTTGAATTTTAGGATATTATATTTGGAGTAGATGAGAAGGAGTATACAAAATCTGGACTAGTGTATAAGTGTATACATTGTCTCTTCTTTATCTGGAGCATGCAAATGTAAGAGTCTTTTGCTTCCCAAATTCTGAAAGGATATGCAAATGTATGCTGTATATCTATAACTAGATTGACTTTTACAAAGAAAAAAACTTTACATTTTATTGATATGGTGGTGGCCTTGACTGCCTGTTAGCAGCATAAAATCAGGGAAAATAAAGAAAGATTTTATAACATAGCATAGATAAATCGAACTCCCAAACAGGACTCTACAGGTCCAGTTTTGCTATAGGAATTTATAGTGCTAACATGGCTACAGTTGGACTTGTTCTTTTGAAGTTTGTAAAGTGCGTTTTGTTGGCCAACAGAACATCGATTTCGCACATGACAACTGTTCATCTGTCCTACTGAGCTAAACGTGTAAAAGGCGCCGCTAAATACAGTCTTGTTATTTATGTGCCAAGTCATTAGTAGTTTACAAGGGATCTTTCTGTTAAAAAACAACTGCAAAACCTCAGGCAGAATCAGATGCAACTTAGATACTGACATCGGCATTCTGGAAAGGTGCGTCAAGGTCAGTTGTGCTGTTATAATAATTTCCTGAGTGGATGGAGTAATCTGCACTGAGGTCAATGCCAATTGCTATACAGCGTGAAGTTAGTGATGGATACTGCTGCAACATGCGAATGCCAAGTGACGCACTGATAAACCCAAGGAGACCTTTCTCAATCGAGTCTGCCAGTAATTCCAGCCTGCAATTCGATGCACGGTTTATTCAAACGATTCACTCATTACACAATTTCAGAGCACTCACTCAACGATTGCACTACTCCCATCTACATTTGCACGCGCAAAATCATGATCCTGAGAATTTAGCGTCCTTCTACCTCTGTTCTCTGTATACGGCTCCAGGCTCAACACCTGATCATTCCAGCTTTCGTCGAAGAACAACTGTCCGATATGCTTGAGACTCCCTGCATGTGAGATGAGCGTGCCATTTGAAGATTGTTCCCAGTCCGTATGGACCATAAGGTGGACGTGGATCGTACGCCCAGAGTAAAACCCTGGGTAGATAGTGGTGAGCTCGACAGTACCAGAGTCATCTGTCGGGAACCCTCCACGGAGCCAGGTTGCGTTGCTTGACATGGTGGGCCCGCCTCGCCGAGGACCGCGACCTGGATTTCCTGGACTACCTCGGCCCGGCTTGTCCGGAGTCCCAGGACCGTCAGGACCTCTGAGACGACCGGGAGGTGGGTGACGGTTATCAGTGGGGCCTAGGCCATTAAAGTGGTTGCCTCCTTGTTTAGGAGGCCGACCTAGCGTGTTTGCCTCAAAAGCACCATAAAACCCAGTCGCATTTGCTAAACATCATTGAATAAGAAAGGTATATTTGCAAAACAGGATGAAGGAGAAGCATGACTCACCACTCCAAATTTCGACAAGCGCATCTGGGACGGACTCGCACGATGCAGTGTCGATGACACCAATGTCAAGACGGAGCAATACACCTCTTCCAGTTCAAGACGGTCAACAGATGATCTTCACAATGACAATAAAAGCGCTTACTTCTGATCCTCAACAAGGTCCTGTCGGACGAGCTCATTATTAACATAATACGGGCCCTCTTCAATCTCTGGGGCAGTGACACAGGTAGACTTTAAGATGCAATGCATTCAGCGATTGTTTGGGTAAATGGAAAGAACAAAGTAACAACTTACACTGTGAATGGCATCTTCAGTCGAGCCCGAATCCTTTAATCCTCCGAGCGTAACTTGCTCTGCCAAGGATCTCTTTGCACGACGCGTCTTATGAAACGCACTGATCGACGAGGCACAATTTCGCGCTGCAAGATGTCGCTTGTGCGCAAGGTGCTTAGGAAACGAAATCAGTTGCCTGGAATAAAGGGGTTTTTCGTTAAATTGCAGAGGACTTACCTCCCTACGAGCAAGCTCAGCACCTGAAAGTCGTTCAGCGAATTCTTCCGGGTGGCCTGTGGTGAATCCAAACGCATCAGATAAGACCAAAGTCAATGCTAACACTCGAAGTTGCCCGTACCGTTGATGATGTCTGCCACCAGAGCCAAGCACACAAGAAGGCCTGCGAGGTGTTTCCTGGGGAACATGCTGAGCTAGATACCTACACAGCATAGTCGATCCACTTCATCTTTATGTTCCCGTCTCTCAAAGATTGACGCGCTGCGGACATATTGAATGATGCCGTGAGACTGCGCACGGCTGCCGGACATGAACTTCCGGCTACCCGGTAGGGAAGATATTATTAATTTATTGACATCTTTTCATCATTTTGTTTGTTCTAGCTATACATTACACCGTCATACAACCAAGCACCGATAACCCTTACGCATTCTAATCCTATGATCACAGTTATGTAGATACGTAGATGACTTTAGATAAGCCCAGCACAGAGCGAGTCAGTCAAGCAAATAGCCTTTTTGTGTACCTTTAAGAATGTCAGTCAAGGAACCATATAATTTATGTTGAGGAGACTCACGAATGTAGGCCATGGACGCCGCCCTCAATTTGCGCACTTGCGGTTCTGAGCTCAAACCGGACCTTTTCCTGCTGAACCGACTGCTGCATTTCTACGATGCTGTGACGTCCGATGTCCTGAAGCGAGTGCTGCAATCCTGCATGGAGATATGGCAGGAACTGCCGCACAGAACCCTTGTCTTGCACATCACCCGAAACACCCTGAGCGACTTTCACTGCACTGGCCTCGCTGAAATAACGCGAAGTCGCTGCATTCTCCTGCACAGCTTGCGCAGCAGCGCTGCCCTTGGGATGCTTCTGTTGATGCTTCGAGCCAGGTTTGCCCTGTTCCATCGCTTCAATGCTTCCCATCCCGCGATACGCTTTCACGCGTTTGCCTTCATGGTAGAAGTACTCGCCTGGTGCCTCGCTTGTCCCGGCTAGCAGACCGCCCATCATCACTGCTCCTGCACCGAGAGCGAGTGCCTTGACAACATGTCCTACATTGCTAATTCCGCCGTCCGCAATGACAGGCACACCAAAGTGACGCGCAAATTCCGCTACTGCGTATACAGCAGTTGCTTGTGGCCGACCAACAGCCATTACCTCCTGCGTAATGCAAATACTGCCGGAACCCATGCCAACGCGCAGACCATCCGCACCTGCTGCAATCAGGGATGCCGCCTGTTCGCGCGTAACGACGTTTCCAGCAATGACTTCGAGATTCGGGTATGTCGCTTTGATCCACTCAATCATCTCGATTTGAAAAATCGAGTTACCTTGCGAGGAGTCGAGTACGACAATATCGAGCCCTGCATCTACAAGTAATGCCAGACGAGTGCGATCTGCAGGCCGAGTACCGATTGCGGCCGCCGCATAAAGCTGCTTACTCTCGGGCAATTTTGATGCGAGTGGATACGTCTGGTTCTTAAGAAGGTCTGAGCGGGCAAGAAGTGCGACAAGATTGCCTTCCCGATCGACGATCGGTAGCTTTCCCTTTTTTGAATCACGCAGAATGTCGTTAGCCTGCTGTAGCGTAACGCCTTCCGGAGCAGTGACGAGGGACTTGGTCATAACCTCAGCCAGTGGCGTCGAGGGTTCTCGAAACTGCACATCGCGATTTGTAACAATGCCGAGTAGCTTTCCGCCAAGGGCCCCGGTGTCTGAAAGACGTGATAATGAGCGAAAAGTTAATTCCGTGTTGAATAGACAGGGAAATGTCAGGTTAATAAGAATAATAATTATCCACTCGTCACGCAGGAATACCGCGTTTATTCGGTAGAACGAAGGTTGTAATAAAGAGATTGCTCATCATACGCCACAAAAATGAATTGAAACGTACCAGTTATGGGAATACCGCTGAAACCAAGGCGCGATTTCACGTCAAGCACATCCTCGACGATGTGATTAGGAGAGAGTACGACCGGATCGGTGATAAATCCGTTCTCGTGGCGCTTCACGGCTCGGACCATCGCTGCTTGTGCGCTTGCTGGCTGATTATGGTGAATCACACCTATACCCCCTAACAGCTGCACGCGGTCAGTGAGAACAATCCAGCTCCAGGCGTACATTAAGATGACTCACCGCCATTGCAATGGCCATCTCCCCTTCAGTGACCGTGTCCATGGGGCTACTCATGAACGGTGTCTTGAGCACCACGTTCCGCGTGATACGTGTATCTGTCACGACATCCGGAGCTGCGAAATCAATCTTGCCAGGCAAAAGGAGAAAGTCATTGTACGTGAGCCCGCCATGTTTCTCGGAGTTCATGAGTTCAGAGATAGACAAGCCATCAGACCTCTTGTACGTCTCGAGGTGTGCAATCGCAGTCTTCGGATCAAGGTATTTTGTCGACGACATGGTGAGAAGTGAGTTCAGGCAGGCTAGAGGGATGGTAAGGGCGGACCAGAGCGCAAGGGGAAGGGATGGGAGTTAACTCCAAAATTGTAACCAAATTTTCAGACAACGCCTTTTGTAGGTTACAGGACGGTCACGTGGGTCAGTAAATAAAACTTTACAAACCATGATGTACAAGAAAACTGTTCAAAGGCATCATGCCGACAACTGGATTATTCCAAGTTGGCTGCAATAATATAAGATGGTAGATTGAAATAGACTCCACAAGACTAATCTGATTCATAAAGCTCCCTTACGGGAAAAGCTATTAGTAATAGTACAACTTCAGCTTCGTTCTCACGGTTTCACAGCTTCTACTCAATCCTGATTCCTTTTTGCGGGTCAGGTTCTTACTTCGTCTCACTTTTTACGGCTTATTCAACTAACGACCGTCTTGCGACTCAGGCTCTTGCCAGTGCTTAATCGCACCTCTTACAGCCTGAGCTTTCAATTTACAATCGTCTTACAACTTAGGCTCTTACTTATTCTCACTTCTTACAGCTTAGGCATTAATGCTCTTACAAATTAAACTCTCACTTAATCTCACGGCTTGGGTTAAAAACGCAGGCAAAAAAACCCCTTCAATCAGTCTTAGGCTCTTACTTAATCTCAGGACTTCGGGGAAAAGCGCAGGCAAAAAACCCCGAAGTTGACTCTACTCTGAAGCCTTACAGCCTTGACGCACACCTCTTGTCTTGAGTCTTGAACCACGTGGTGCCTTGTTGTCTTGCCGTCTTGATGTCACCCAAGCCCGGCGGTTTCACTGCCGCCGAGAAGACTGCACTAATGAACTACGTACTGCCAGACTACCACTTCCTCAACACTTCCTACCCACCTTCGCCTATTCGATCCTCGTCGTCCTCTCGCGGCGGCCCTGGGATACAAGCAACAAAGGAGAGTAGCCAGTTCTCCTTCGATGACCGTCGCCCACCGCCATTGTCCACCTCAAATCCAGAGACATGTATCCGATTTAGCGAGCCTTATGACAGCCACGCTCTCTCGTCCGATAGGTAATGTCAACTCAATGCCAGATCTGCAGAGGAATATCAGTGAACTGTAAGTCTGTAACAAATAGAGGCATGGGTACTCGTCTCATGTTGTCTACGCAAACTCCAGGAGACGCCGGATCCGGGGTTTCTAGTTCTAGGCGCAAGACGAGTCAGCAAACAGATTACTGAGATCCTTAGACTAAGAAACTGAAACGCCAGATAGCTTAGCTGTGTTCGGGCCGAAACTTCTCCTGGATAGGAATCTCTAGGAATGACGCCCGCCCTCCCTCAGTGAACAGCACGACGCGTAGTCTGCTCGAGAGGTAGCGGACCAGGGCGTCAGGCGTTGGTGCTAGTGAACCACGTTAGTAGAGACGATGGCCTCGACCAGGCGCTGGTGATCGCGACGACGAAAGACGCCGGCGATGCGGTCGAAAAACCTCGGCACAAACTTGCTGACAAGAGGAGTGGCTAGTTCGCCCTCGTCCTCAAACCCGTACTCTGGACTCTCGAACCGCGGGAGCGCGTTGAAGGTGTCGCGTATAAGCAGGAAAGGTGGAAACCCGGTCTCCTGGTGGCCAAGCTCTCTCGTTCAGTCGTTGACGCCGACTCAACTCCAAACCTGTAGAGGAAAATCAGTGGACTGAAAAAAGCAGAAACGCGGGTACTCATCTCAATGCCCACCCCAACCACAGGCGACGCTGAATCCGGGTCTTTTAGTCCTAGGTGCAAAACAAGTCAGTGAACAGTTTATATGACTCTTACTGCTAAACTGAAACGCCGGATAGCTTAGCTCAGTTCTGACCGAAACGTTACCTGGCAGAGAGGACGACCTTGACTTGGTGCTGATGGCTGCGGCGACGAAAGACTTTGGCGATGGGGTCGGAAAGCCTCGTTACGGACTCGCTGACGCGGAGAGTGGCCAGTTCGTCCTCGTCTTCAAACTTGTACCCAGCTTTTCGAACTGCAGGAGTGCGACGATAGAGATGCGGATAAGCAGGAAAGGTGGAAATCTGGTCTCCTGGCCGCCAAGCTCTACCGTTCGATGGCTGACGCTGACTCAACTTTAAACCTGTAGAGGAAAATCAGTGGACTGAAACAAGTAGAAAACACGGGTACTCGGCTCATTGTCCGTGCCATCCACAGGCGACGTTTCTTCTGGGTCATCTAGTCCTAGGTGCAAGATAAGTCAGTGAACAATTCTCAGACCCTTGGACTGCAAAACGGAAACGCCGGATAGCTTAGCTCAGTTCGGACCGAATCGTTTCTTGGTAGGGAGGACAATCTCGACTTGGCGCTGATAGCTGCGGCGACGAAAATCTTTGGCGATGGGGTCGGAAAGCCTCGGCATGGACTTGTTGACGAAGGGAGTGGCCAGTTCGCCCTCATCTTCAAAACCGTGCTCTGGCTTTGTAAACCGGGGGGAGTGTGTCGATGGTGCGCGTTTAAACGGGAAAGGCGGAATTCCGGTCCACTGTCCATCTCGTACTCGAGCCCGAGCATTCGACTCAATCTGCCTATGGTGGTTACGCTCTCTCATTCAATAGCCGACCTTGGCTCAACGCCAAACCTGCAGATAAACATCAGCGAACCGTAATAAGTACAGACACGGGCACTCGTCTCATGTTATCCGCACCGATCACGGGCGACGCTGAATCTGGGTCTTCTAGTCCTAGGCGCAGGGCAAGTCAGTGTACAACTTCTAGGACTCTTAGACTGTAAAACTGAAATGCCGGATAGCTTAGCTCAGTCCGGGTGCAAACGTTTCTCTGGGGAGACGTTCCAGAAAAGACATCCGCCCTCCTTCCCTTCGCGAACAGCCTCAAACGCCCTCGAATGCCTCGGCTGGTGAACTACATTGGACTATCATTGCTGTTGACCTTGATAGAATACGATCTTGACTCGATGCTGGTAATCGTGACGTCGAAAGGCTCCGGAAGGCCTCGGCACGAGCTTGCTGACAAGAGGAGTGGTTAGTTGACCCTCATCCTCAAACCCGTACTCTGGCCTATCAGACGGAGGGAATACATCGGTGGTAGTGCGTACAAGCGGGAAAGTAACTGGAAAATCTGTGGGGAAAATTTAGTGAAATGCGATAAATAGAGAAGCAGGAACTCTGAGGATGATCTTGATTCCGTGCGGTGATCGCGACGACGAAAGACTCCACTGAAGCGGCCGGAAAGCCTCGGCACAGACTCGTTTACGAGTGGATAGTTCGCCCTCGTTCTCAAACCCGTGCTCTGGCTTGCCATACCGGGGAAGGACATCGATAGTATCGCGTACATATGGGAACGCATCTCGAAATCTGTAGGGAACATTTAGTGAAACACGACGAACAGAGAAACAGGAGCTCTGAGGATGACCTTTGAATCCGCGCTGGTGATCGCGACGACGAAAGACTCCACTAAGGCGATCGGTAAGCCTCGGCACAGGCTTGCTGATGAAGGGAGTGGCTAGTTCACCCTCATCCTCGAGCCCATACTCTGGCCCACTAAACCAAGGGAGTGCGTCGATGGTATCGCATTTAAGCGGGGAGGATGGAATACTGATCTCCTGTTCACCTCGTATTCGGATGCCTGTATCAGGCGCGACCTGCCTCACGGTGGACATGCCCTTTCGTTCGATAACACGTCAGCTCAACTCCAAATCTGCAGAGAAATGTCAGTGAACTGTATCGGGTAGAATCGCGGGCACTCGTCTCATTCTCTGCGCCAACCACAGGTGACGCTGAATCCAGGACTTCTCGTTCTAGGCACAAGGCGGTGACCAATTTCTAGGACGCTTAGAAATTGGATCGCCAGAAGGCTCAGCTCAGTTCGGGCGGTTTGTTCTCTGGATATGCATCTCCAGAAAACGCACCCTCCCTCCCTTCGCGAACAGCCTCAGACGCGCTCGAATGCCTCGGGTCTCCTTACGATGTCAGCACGACGTGCAGCCTGCTCGAGAGGCAGCAATCCAGGGCGCCAGTTGTCCGCGCTAGTGAACCACAATAGCGCGTTGTCGCTGTCGACATCGTTCGCGTCTTTGACCTTGCGAGAGAGGACGACCTTGACTCCGCACTGGTGATCACGACGACGAAAAAGTCCACTGAGGCGGTCGGAAATCCTCGGCACAGACTTGCTTACGAGGAGAGTGGCTAGTTCGCCCTCGCTCTCAAATCCGTGCTCTGGCTTTTACTCGGGTGGTCGCATTCGACTCAATCTGCCCATGGTGGATACGCTCCCTCGTTCGTTAACCGACGCTGGCTCAACGCCAAATCTGCAGATGAACATCAGGGAACTGTAACAAGTAGAGACGCGGGTACTCGTCTCAAGTTGTCCGCGCGAACTACTGTCGACGCTGAATCCAGGTCTCCTTGTCCTACGCGCGAGACAAGTCAGTGAACAACTTCCTGAGACTCTCAAACTTAGAAAGAGAAGCGCTGGATACTTATCTTAGGTCGGTTCGGGCCGAAACATTTCTGGATAGGCATGTCCAGCACGACACACAACCTGCTCAAGAGATAGCAGACCAGGATGTCAGTTGTCGGAGCTAGTGAACCACATTAACCTATCGTCGCAGTTGACATCAGTCGCTCCTTGAACTTGGTAGGGAGGATAACTAGTGAAAAGCTCCGGCGATGCAGTCGGAAATCCTCGACACGGGCTTGCTGACGAGGAGAGTGGCCAGTTCACCCTCATATTCAAACCCATACTCTAGCTGTGCGAACCGCAGGAGCGTGTCGAAGGTGTCGCATATAGGCAGGACAGGTGGATTCCCGGTTTCCTGCCTACTTCGTACCCGGAAGCCTGCATCCGACTCAACCTACTTCACGGTGGTCAAGCTCTCTCGGTTGGTAAGCAATACCGGCTCAACTCCGAATCTGTAAAGAAACATCAGTTAGCTGTAACAAGTAGCAACACGGGCACTCGTCTCATGTAGTCTGCACCAACCAGAGCCGACGCTGGATCCGGGTCTTCTAGTCCTATGTACAAGATAAGTCAGTGAGCAAATTCCGGAGACTCTCAGACTTAGAAACTGAGACGCTGGATAGCTTAGCTGTGTTCACGTCTCCTGGATAGACATCTCTAGGAAAGATGTCCTCCCTCCCTCGACGAACAGCACGACACGCAACCTCTCGAAAGGTAACAGACCAGGGCACCAGTTGTTGGGGCTGGTGAGCCAAGTTAGCTTATCGTCGCTGCTGACGTCGTCCGCGTCACTGACCTTGGTAGAGACGATGACCTTGACCAGGCGCTGGTGATCGGGATGACAAAAGGCTCCGGCGATGCGGTCGGAAAACCTCGGTACAAGCTTGCTGATGAGAGGAGTGGCCAGTTCGCCCTCATCCTCAAACCCGTACTCTGATCTCCTGGACCGCGGGAGCGCGTTGAAGATGTCGCGTATAAGCGGGAAAGGTGAAAGCCTGATCTCCTGGTGGCCAAGCTCTCGTTCAGTGGCCGACACTGACTCAACCCCAAACCTGTAGAGGAAAATCAGTGGATTGGAATAAGTAGAAATGCGGGTACTCGGCTCGATGTCCGTGCCAACCACAAGCGACGCTGAATCCGGGTCTTGTAGTCCTAGGTGCAAAACAAGTCAGTGAACAATTTATATGACTCTTAGACTGCTAAGCTGAAGCGCCGGATAGCTTAGCTCAGTTCTGACCGAAACGTTACCTGGCAGAGAGGACGACCTTGACTTGGTGCTGATGGCTGCGCCGACGAAAGTCCTTGGCGATGCGGTCAGAAAACCTCGATACGGACCTGCTGACGAATGGAGTGGCCAGTTCACCCTCATCCTCAAACCCGTGCTCTGGCTTTCTAACCCGGGGGGAGGACATCGATGGTGTCGTGTTTAAGCGGGAAAGGCAGAATCCCGGTTTACTGTTCATCTTGTACTCAGGTGCTCGCATTCGACTCAATCTATCTATGGTGAATACGCAATAGCCGATGCTGACTTGACGCCAAACCTGCAGATGAACATCAGCGAACTGTAATAAGCAGAGAAATGGATACTCGTCTCATGTTTATAGCGCCGACCACAGGTGACGCTGAATCTGAGTCTTCTAGTCCTAGGCGCAAAACAAGTCAGCGAACAACTTGTGAGACTATAAACTGTAAACTGAAACGCCGGATAGCTTAGCTCAGTCTGAGTGCAGACGTTTTTCTGGGAGAGTCATTCCCAGAAAAGATGTCCACCCTCCCAACCTTCGCAAACAGACACTAACGCGCTCGAATGCCTCGACCGGTGAACCACATTGGCCTATCATCGCCATTGGCATCGTCCGCGTCGTTGACCTTGATTGAAATACGGTCTGGACTCGATGATGGTAATTGCGACGTTGAAATGCTCCGGCGACGCGGTTGGAAGACCTCTGCACAGGCTTGCTGACAAGAGGAGTGGCCAGTTCGTCCTCATCCTCAACCCCGTATTCTGGCTTATCTGACCGAGGGAATGCTTCGATGGTATCCCATACAAGCGGGAAAGTGACTCGAACTCTGTAGGGAACATTTAGTGAAACGCGACAAATAGAGAAGCAGGAACTTTGAGGATGACCTTTACTCCACGCTGGTGGTTGCGACGACGAGAGACTCCACTGAGGCAGTCGGAAAGCCTCGGCACAGACTTGCTTACGAGGGGAGTGGCTAGTTCGCCCTCGCTCTCAAACCCGTGCTCTGGCTTCCCATTCCGAGGAAGACATCAGTGGCATCGCGTATAAGCGGGAAAGCAATCCGAAATCTGCAGGGAAACATTTAGTGAAATGCGACAAATAGAGAAGCAGGAACTATGAGGATGACACTGACTCCGCGCTGCACGACGAAAGACTCCAATGAGGCGGTCAGAAAGCCTCGGCACAGACTCGCTGACGAAGGGAGTGGCTGGGTCGCCCTCATCCTCAAACCCATACTCTGGCTTACTAACCCAGGAAATGCGTCGGTGGTATCGCGCATAAGCTGGAAAGCAACTCGAAATCTGTGGGGAAATTTTAGTGAAATGCGACAAATAGAGGGGCAGGAACTCTGAGGATGACTTGACTCCGCACTGGTGATCGCGACGACGAAGACTCCACTGAGGCGGATGGAAAACCTCGACACGGACTTAATGACGAAGGGAGTGGCTAGTTCGCCCTCATTCTCAAACCCATGCTCTGGCTTTCCGAACCGCAGGAGTGCGTTGATGGTATCGCACTTAGGGGGGAAAGACAGAATTCTGGTCCACACTTCATCTCGTACTCGGGTGCTCGCATTCGACTCAAGTTGCCTATTGTGGATCTGCCCTCTCGTTCAATAGCCGATGCTAGCTCAACGCTGAATCTGCGGATGAACATCAGCGAACTGTAACAAGTAGGGGCACGGGCACTCGTCTCATGTTATCCGTGCCGACCTCAGGTGACGCTGAATCCGAATCGTCTGGTCCTAGGCGCAAAACAAATCAGATAACAACTAAAAAGATGCTTATGTTGCAAAATTGAAACGCCGGATAGCTTAGCTCAGTCCGGGTGCAAACATTCTTCTGGAGAGACATCCGCCCCAGGCATCCTTTCTCGAACAGCCTCAAAAATGCTCGAACGTGTCGAGTCTCCTTATGATGTCTGCACAGCGCGCGGTCTGCTCGAGAGGTAGCAACCCAGGGCGCCAAATTGCACGGGGATGGTAAACCACGTTAGTCTACTGTCGCTATTGACAATGCTCGCGTCATCGACCTTGGTAACCCGGCGCTGGGGATCGCGACGACGAGAGACTCCACTGAGGCGGTCGGAAAGCCTCGGCACAGACTTGCTTATGAGGGGAGTGGCTAGTTCGCCCCCGCTCTCAAACCCGTGCTGTGGCTTCCCATTCCGGGGAAGACATCGATGGTATCGCGCATAAGCAACTGGAAATCTGTAGGAAGCATTTAGTGAATCACGAAAAAAATAGAGAAGGAGGAACTTTGAGAATGACCTTGATTCCGCGCTGGTGACCTCGACGGCGAAAGACTCCACTGAGGCGGTCGGAAAGCCTCGGCACAGACTTGCTTACGAGGGGAGTGGCTAGTTCGCCCTCGCTCTCAAACCCGTGCGCTGGCTTCCCATTCCGAGGAAGGACATCAGTGGCATCGCGTATAAGCGGGAAAGCAACTCGAAATCTGTAGGTAACATTTAGTGAAACGTGACAAATAGAGAAGCAGGAACTATGAGGATGACCTTGGCTCCGCGCTGCACAACGCTGGACTCCAACGAGGTGATCGGTAAGCCTCGGTACAGACTCGCTGATGAAGGGAGTGGCTAGTTCACCCTCATCCTCAAACCGATACTCTGGCTCACCAAACCGAGGGAGTGCGTCGATGGTATCGCATTTAAGCGGGGAGGAGGGAATCCCGATCTCCTGTCCACCTCGTATTCGGACGCTTGTATTAGGCGCGACCTGCCTCACGACGGATATGCCCTTTCGTTTGATAGCTGACGCCAGCTCAACTCTAAGTCTGTTGAGAAACGTCAGTAGACTGTAACAACTAGAGCCGCAGGCACTCGTCTCATTCTCTGCGCCAATCACAGGTGACGCTGAACCCGGGTCTTCTCGTTCTAGGCGTAGGGCGGTGACCAATTTCTAGGACGCTTAGAAATTGGACCGCCAGAAGGCTCAGCTCAGTTCGGGCGGTATGTTCTCTGGATATGCATCTCCAGAAAACGCACCCTCCCTCCCTTCGCGAATAGCCTCAGACGCGCTCGAATGCCTCGGGTCTCCTTACGATGTCCGCACGACGTGCAGCCTGCTCGAGAGGCAGCAATCCAGGGCGCCAGTTGTCCGCGCTAGTGAACCACAATAGCGCGTTGTCGCTGTCGACACCGTCCGCGTCTTTGACCTTGGGAGAGAGGACGGCCTTGACTCCGCGCTGGTGATCACGACGACGAAAAAGTCCACTGAGGCGGTCGGAAAACCTTCGCACGGACTTACTAACGAGGAGAATGGCTAGTTCGCCCTCATCTTCAGACCCGTACTCTGGCCTTCCAAACCGAGGGAGCGTTTCGATGACGTCGCGTTTCAGCGGGAAAGGTAGAATCCCGCTCTCGAGAGGCAGGAGAACAAACGACTCTTTAGACGTGATGGTGTACATCATACGGTATAAAATAAGCAGATGGGGATTGCGGTAAGTGCTTGAGGTTGGATGACGATGGTAGGGTGAGAATGCAAGAAGCAATGGGATGTTTCTTGCTCTTACGGCCTTGTTTATAGACAAATCTAGCATGTCTCAAAACGTGGTGTATTTTTGGTCTGACTTGAAACGGAACAATGGCTTATTCTGAACGCAACTGCCTAAGGTCGAGAGCGTTCTAAGGTATGAATGACAGACAGACAATAAATCTTTAATTTATGTCTCGTTCTTACAATCAAAGGAGGATTATGTGTTGAAATTATGCTCTACAGAGGACTCCACCTACACGTTTTTACTTTGAACTAACGTGAGATTAAGAAGTTATCTACTATGGCTGTGTCCATCTGCGAATATGGAGGGCTCCATCCCAGGCAGTCTGTTTTAAAGTGTCTCTCGTTAAGGTTGTCATGCTCAGAACACACGATTTTTGTCGGTGGAAGTATCAAACACACCAAAAGATCATATCTCAACTAAAACCTACTGTAGGCAGGAATATAACCGCTGGTATGACTGGTAAGTTCCCATTCTTTTGATTCATTCTTTCAATTTAAAACAGGAGGTCAAAGTCAAACAGCTGGGCGAGGAAAATCATGACTTTTTCTTTGCCTCTCTTCGTTTCCTCTCCGCTATCACACAAGTTACTGCATTTTTTCAAGGGAAAAACAAAACAAATATGAAGTCAGGTTTAGTTGAGAGACATAAGTAGATAACTCTTCCTCACCTACTAGGTAATCCAAAATGTCCTCGCAGCCTGGTGCGAGTCGAATGAATGGCATATGGGCATTCTTGAAATACCGGCGGCCAGTGTATGATGCGATCGGCACATCCTCGTCTTTGGAGTATAGCTGTTAGTGCCAAAAGATACAATTAGAAACGAAGAGATACCTATGGAGCAATACAAAACTGAATTTCGATCACTCACCTTCAATGAAAAGTCTCGAGCTTTCCAAACATATTGTCTTCCATTGTTGGCTGTAAACGTACGATTGCTTCACAAATAAGATCATAAAGATGTAGTCTCGAGCAACACTCTGTGATTCCAGAATAACCTATACTTACAATCGTGGGGAATCTTGACCACCCCATGTTCGAGGGAAGAAATACTTCGTCAAAACGAACCTGTCATCGGTATCTTCCGCGAGCTGGCACTTGGAATATATTCTGACTCGTCCCTTTGGACCCTTTCCAAACCACTTTCTCTCCCAGTCGGCGAATGGGATGTACTGCTGTGACTGAGCATCCCACCGCGAAAATGTCGTCACACGAGCCTTCTTGAAACCTTCCAATGGAGTCGAAAGTTGATAATGCAGTCCAAGAGAATCGCACTCAATCACCGTATTGCGTAGACTATTGGAAGTAAACCTGAGACGTGCATACTCTGTGGGGAGCGATGGAGACTGACCCATGGCTACGTAGCCATGTCACATGAACTTTTACTAGGCGAAAGAAACTGCGATCAACTTGTTTGCGCTGGAATCTAAAGATCGACACCTCATTGTGAGAGGGTCGGAGGACCGGAACCGAGGATTTGGTTACATAATAGGAGGTGAAGTTCTCATCGTACGTAAGCAATACTTGGTATTCCTAATCGGGCCTGCTCTACGTCTGTCGAGTTTCTGCGAAATTACTTGAATACTTCTGCACGTCCGGACCGCAGAAGGTCATGGCTTCTGAGGTCTGCTGCCATTGTAAATCCACTCATATGACCTGCTGCTCATGTACATCATAGTAATTCAGCAACGACTTTATCCGTGGTGTCGATATTCTTGCCTTGAAGCTGCCTGCCTCACATTCTCAACGAATGATATTTGGGTGGGCTATATACATCCAAAATATCCGCTAAAATATATTAATGGTGAATTATTTCATATTCATGGGCTGAGTACAAATTAAAATGAACTGAAGTTAGTTGTGCTTCTTTCCCAGATCAGCCTGCCAGCTTCTTCATGGCTGACCTTCCAAGCACTACGAACAGCAAGCAAGTAATGTAAAGAAGCTAGCCTGCGAGTCCACTCATCCTGTAGCCATCACATGCAGATATACACTCCGCGCGAAGCAACGCGTCACCCCAGGACACACGATATAGACTTTAAGAAGTTAGATAGCATTTAGTACAGTATTTACATCAATATCTACACTACACAAACAAGCCGATCCACATAGAAATTGCTCTAATAAATTCCAATATGCCGAGGAAAGACAAATGCAGCACGATAACTCGCAAAAAAAATTCTCAACAATTCTCAACACGCGGAGCAAGCGGCGTACGTTCCTCAACAGCAGTCCGCGTCTGCTCCCTCTTCCCAAAAACTTTCCTCGGACGTGTATCAACGAAGAACTTCACCTCCTCTAGCTCTGCATCGTTAATCTCCGGTACCAACATGTCCCCTTTTCGTACAGCTTGCTCCTCTTCGTCCTCCTCTAGAACGCCTTGCAAAACATTCTGCGTCCGAGAACGAGATGGCAGTAAACCTGAAAGCGTCACATCTCCCTCACTCTCCTCACCAATAACACTACGATCCATATTATCAAACCCTTTCTGTATCGAAACTAGCAATTTCGAAATCGGCGTCGCGGCAACTTGATACCTGTGCGCCGCGGTGGCTGTAGCTTGCCGTAGAGGTGCAGGTGTGACGAACTCAAAGTTCGGTAGTCGATATGGAGGAGATGGCGGGAGGGGAATGTCGCCGGCTGCAAGCTGATCGGATTCTGGTGATTCTGACCGGACCGCTGCCTTGCCTTTGTTAATAGCGAGAGGCTTTACGCCCGCGTATTTCCCTTGGTTCCCGTCCTTTCGTTTGGGTGGTGGTGTGGTCGGTGGCTTGGCCTTCGGGGTCTGTACGTCCTCTGTAATGACTGCTTCGTTCAATGATTCGGAGGTCTCTGAGACGACGCCCTGTTGGACACTGCTACGCAAGTCGGTGTCAATTGGCGCATCACTATCTTTGGATGAAATGTCCTGAGCAGGCTCTTGCTCCGTGGTTAACAATTCACATGGTGGAGCACTCTGCGGTTCGCTCGCGGAATGATTCTCAGAAATATCCTGCGCAACATGTTCTTCCGGGGTTGCTGGCTTCGGCCTCGATGTTCCCTCGTTCGGCGCATCTGCAAATGGCGGCTCTTCATTACTTTCTGTCGGCTTGTGTGCCTGGTATTGTCCCCCAGATTCCGGTTGAACAAGCAACTCCAGATTCTCGGCTCTACGCTTCCTTTTGTCCTGTTTACTCCGCCCACTCTTCGACTCTTTTACACTCTTTGTTGGTCGAGTCTCCTCTTTGTCCTTCTTAGACCTCCTTTGAGGCTCTTCATTTTGTATCGGATTAGCCGAATGCGAGCTGGGGTGGCTGTGTTGCCTTTCTTCCTTTAGTCTCTTTGAAGGCCGTTCTGCTTTTAAGTGATCTGCTCTAGGTTCCAACTTCGTATGGGTTCTCTTTTCTGCCTGCGATACAGGTCTTGGTACGTCCCCGTTCGCTCGCGAAGGAGGACGGGTGTGTGCTTGTCTATCAGCAGTTTCGTTTGTATCAGCTCTTGAAGTTGGTTGAGGACGAAACTCTCCCCCAGCCCTGCTTGCAGGTCGGACCTGAGGCTCTCTGACTGGTTCAGGATCTGCGGTCTTTGGTGCATTGTTATCCATCCTAGAGGTTGGGTGCGGGCGGAACTCTCTGTCTGTCCTACTCGCAGGCCGGGACCGAACCTCCTTCTTCTTTTCTTCGCCCGTTTTAATACTTGCCGAAGAAATGAGTTGGGATGGAGGACGAGACCAAGAATGACCAGTTGCATTTGTAGTCGTTGATGTGGAGGATGACGCGGACGACGCGAGACGTGCCTTTTCCCCTTCTCGTTCCTTCACGCTCTCCTCCAAATTGTTCTGCTGCTTCGTCTCCGAAGCTGAAAAATCAGGCTCAGGAGCAGGTTTGGGAACTCGCCGGGGACCGGTCTTGACGTGTTCCGTCCCCGACGAATCAACAACCTGAGCCTTTGATACGGGTTGCGCAACATCAAGTACAGGTGATGGTTCTGGAGGAGTCGGCGCCCTTTCAGGACGCTGTGCACCACTATTAGAAAGCGAGTGGCTCTTAGACAAGTCCATCGTGTTTTGTGTGGTTGCCTTCAAAGCCTGCCGCGAGAGCAGTGTGCGACGAGTAGGAAATGAAGGTGCTGCGGCCATTGCTTGGCACACAGATGGAGGCGGACGAATTGGGCCTGAAGAAGGTATACGCTGGGGTGGGGGTGGCATCGAGTTGCTCTCTTTTGCAGGAGCGGCGACCGATGGTTTCGTGCTTTTCATCACCTTCTCAGCTCGCTCAGTTGGGACGAAACTTGAGCTAGAGCCTTTTGCATGGCCCTGGGTGGAAGAATGAGAACGTGTCATGATGTCCCCTGCTTTCGAGGTTGGAGGTAAGGTGGGCGCAGAGGTTGAGGATGAGAGGAGTAGTGGCTTGCGCTGGCCCGCGGGTGCAGCTTTGATGTTAAGATACTTTTTCATCGTTGGCGTTAGAGGAGCAATAAACCTTTTGGCAAGTCAGTAATCGTACAGGTCAAAGAGATAATACAGAACAATCTCACGAATCTAATCTGGAAGGAAAGAGAATCTTGTAGGCCTCAAAGGCCTTCCGGCTACTCTTGCGAACGTCGGCGCTGGCGTCTCTAGCAGTAGCTCGCATGACGGCCTCAATGTCCTCTGCTCTATTCGGTGTCTCGAGGTCCGGTGGGTTGTAGCAGTTGAGGCAAGCCACAACGAGGTCTGTTGCGGTTAGACGAAGATTAACCGACTTGTCCGAAACGGCATGCCGGAGAAGAGGAAAAATTATAGGAGACTGGACATTCTCGACAATTGCCAATAAGCATGCTTTGGCTCTTGCGATGAATACCTTGTTGGATCGAGAGGCAAGAGAGAGGAGGGTTGGTACGAAAAGAGGGATGAGAGCTTCAAAGGGCCGTCGGAGGTGAGTCGCAAGCGTAGTGAGCACATCCGTGGCACAGCCCGATAGCCTCGAACGCTCCGAGTTAAGAGAGTTGATGATGGGCCGTGCGAAGGATTTGAATGCTGTTATGAGCTGTGATGGAAAATCTGCAGCAGAGCCAACTGCCAAGGCGTTAAGACGGAGAAGGGCATTGGATATCTTGTTCCAGCTGTCCTCAGTTTCGGTGAGTTCAAGACCGGCGCGGACTTCGCCGAGCTCATAGTCAAGTATAGCTCGGGATGAGCAAGAAATCACTGAAGGAATTTTAGGGGCCATTTCGGTGAGATGGATGGCCAGGAGAGGGTCAAAGTATGAGCCAAGGAGGAGGCAGAGCCGCGAAAGACGCACGCGAATCGATCAACAAAATCAACTGAGACGCGTCATGTGATACGTGAGTTTCTATTCTTGGCTCCGTGGCCATCGAGTCCACGACAGCCTTTGCTAGTACCCTGATATACGAGGAGGTACTCACGATGTTTTATATGAAAGTGATAATTTTATTATTAATTTTCTGTGAGAGAGAGTGCATATGGTACGAGATGACGTAATCCGACTTAAATCTGCACCTGTCGCAGTCACGTCGATCGCTGCCAAGAAATTGGAATGACACCGGATTATTTTTTAGGCGAGGAAAATTAGGCATATTGCATCGGCACACCCTTCGGAACCGAATTTATTCCCGGTACGTCATCATGTTCCTCCGCTAATATATGTACTCTCCTAATTTATATCACATGCCATGTTGCCACAAGGAAACCAGTTTGCTGGCATATTCGTATTATGACGCGGAATTCTCCCCCTGAGTGTATAAATATACTCCAGATACACCTTCATGCAACATCAGCTTTTGACCTATATCATGCAGTGGCTCTTCTTCCTCGCTTTTCTCGCCTACGCTGGTGTTTCTTCTGCATACCCAAATCCAGGGCTTGTCACCGGAGACATCAACCCCGTGCATGACCCGACACTATGCAGAGACAATACTGGGAAATACTTTTTGTTCTCAACAGCAACAGGAATTGAAATCCGCACTTCGACAGACAGGATAGCGTGGACCCTTGAGGGCGTTGTTTTCCCGAATGGTGCAAGTTGGACCGATGAGTATACCGGGACATCGAACGGGTATATTTTAGTCTTCGCACTTCATCGGTTGACGTTGTTGATTTATCTGCAGCGACTTATGGGCTCCTGACTGTACATACCTCAACGGACAATTCTATGTGAAGACTGTTTCACTTGCTTACTCTCGGGTCATGCGTTGACGTCAGTTATTCAGCTGTACTATGCTGCTTCAACATTCGGCTCGCAGAAAGCGTGTCCAATTTTTCATTAATGCATGCACGCCCTAACATCTCGCAATTGCAGTCTGGGATATTCCTTGCTACATCTACCACGGGTCTTCCCGGTTCCTTTGTTAATCACGGCCTTATAACGTCGACGGCACCGGGCGACTCATACAACGTAAGATATAATATCCGAAAACCTCGGGGTTATAGTTAATTGACAACGTCGTTTCTTGCTTACAGGCTATTGATCCGAAGTGAGTGTTCTCTCGATTCCCGATAGACTATTATTAACAATCGACTTTGTCAGCTTGATTATAGGTAAATAAATGTGCCGTCCTCTACTAATTGTCTAATTTCTTGCCGTTATGAAGACGGTGACCAGTGGTACTTATCATTGGGCAGCTTTTGGACTGGAATCAAGGGCACAGAGTGAGTAGTTAATTAACACTCCCCGGGAGTACAATTGTACTTTGTTGCTTAATGTATACATAGATTGGTACCACAGGACGGAACAGTTACTGGTTCACTTGATTCGCTTGCTGCACGCTCTGGTGGTACGACTGCCATTGAAGCCTCTGTAATCTACAAGAATGGTGACTTCTACTACCTGTTCACATCTTGGGACCAATGCTGCCAGGGTACGAATAGCACATACAACATTCGCGTGGGTCGCTCTACAAGGTACGAAAAAAAAAGGATCATGTGTATTTCGTTAGTGACTTGGCTGAACTAACATTTCGTAATTCGTTTAGTCTGAGGAGTGGCTATGTTGATGCGAATGGGGTTCCACTAACGTCTGGTGGTGGCACCCTTGTGCTTGAAACCCATGATGCAATTGTTGGCCCAGGCGGACAGGACCTTTTGACGGACGTTGACGGACCTATTCTCGTTTATCGTACGTGGATCTCATTACTCCAGTCTCCCAGAAAGTGATGCGTTACTCATTATATCATCCTCGCAGATTACTACACAGCAGCTGGACCGCTGGTAAGTGGCTGCGATGATTAATTCTAAGTATTTGTCTGATTATGAAACTGCGTGTTTCTAGCTTGGAATCAACCGTCTTGATTTCTCGAGTGGATGGCCCGTTGTCGCCTAATCGAAGCTAGCAGACTAATAATTTGACTTGCTTCCGCGGTTATATGAAACGGTTGATAGGGATTTGTTACTAGGGGCTGTCTGATGTACAAAATGCATACATATGAAATGGTAACATTACTGGCACTGAGATTAAGCTCTGACCGGGTACCGCGTGTGCTTTTACTCATCACCACCGCTGGTATGAATAGCATGCTCCCGTTCTTTGGCGCCAAAAAACTGGTCAGTATGAAAGATGCAAACAAGAAAGCTGGCCTTACTCTTTGCCTCTCTTCGTTTCCTCTCTGCTATTACGCAAGTTACTGCATTATTCAGGCGAGAAAAACGTATGCTTAGATTTGTCTGAAAGCTAAGAGTAGAGAATGTCTCCTTACCTACTAGATAATCCAGAATGTCCTCGCAGCCTGGTGCAAGTCGGATAAATGGTTTGTGGCCCTTCTTAAAATACCGGCGGCCAGTGTATGATGCTATCGGTACATCTTCTTCCCCGGGGTATAACTTCAAATACAAATACGCGGAATTAGATCCAATGATCTCCTCCTCCTCCCCCCCTAACAGCTTTAATTACTCGCCTTCAAAGAAAATTCACGAGCTTTCCATACGTATTGCCTCCCATTCTCGGCTGTAAACGTACGATTGCTTCATGAATGTGAAGAAGTATCTAAGAGTGATACCATACAATCCTGGAACTGCTCATACTTACAATCGAGTGAAACCTAAACCACCCCATGTACGCTGGAAGAAGTCCTTCGTCAAGACAAACCCGTCATCATCATCAGCTTGTGTGGTATCATCCGTCGATTGATGCTTTGAATACATCTTAACCCGTCCTTTTCCAACGAGCTTCCTTTCCCATTCGGCGAAAGGAACGTTCTGCTGTGACTGCGGGTCCCACCTCGAAAATTTCGTCACGCGAGCGTTCTTAATACCGTCTAATTCAGTCGAAAGCTCGTAGTGCAGACCGAGAGAGTCGCATTCAATCATCGTGTTGCGTAGGCTATTGGTAGTAAACCTGAGGCGTGCATACTCTGAGGGGATCGATGGAGACTGACCCATTGCCGCGCTTGTTGCACATGAGCCATGCCGCACGACCTTTTATTGAGTGAAAAGAAACTGCGATCAACTGGTTGTCGTCGAAATCTAGAGATTGACAGACTTAGTGAATAACCGTAATACAGAATGCCAAGCGGAGGATCAGGTTACATAATACTTATAGGAGGTGAATTTGCCAAGGGCGCAGCATGTATAGGCCTTCCCAACGAGGCCTCCTTTATGCCTTGTCGAGTTTGTACGAACTATAGAAAGCACGCGTCACAGGCTACAAGGTTGTTGTATGGGACAATGAGTGAAGAGCCTCTTCCACTCTTATAGTATATACTAACTGATAGAGAGACAGGTCATAGGTGATCTGACTGACATATGCATACACGTTAAACAAGATCATTATTGGTCTGAAACAGAGCTTTGGTATTGCGCACACCTACGCAGCATCACCACTGGTCTCAATGCAGTGTCTTCGTTCTTCGGAGCCATAAAGTTACTCAGCGTCAAACAATCTATCATCAGGGAAAGTATGCCTTACTTTTTTGATTCTTTTCGTTTCCTCTCTGCTATCACGCAAGTTACTGTATGGTCCGAGCATGAAATTATGCACTTAGGTTGGGCTGTACAGTTAGTAAAGACTTGCTTCGTGCCTTCTAGGTGATCTAGAATATCTTCGCAGCCTGGAGCGAGGCGAATGAATGGCTTGTACCCTTTCTTGTAATACCGGCAGCCAGTGTATGATTCTATTGGCACATCTTCGTATTTGGGATATAGCTTTTAAATCCGATTAGCAAAGTTGGAATCAAAAGCACTTTCACATAACAATGTAGAAATAAAATATCCTTTGCTCTCACCTTCAATGAAAATTCACGCGCTTTCCAGACGGATTGCTTTCCATCGTCGGTTGTAAACGTACGATTGCTTCACAAGCGAGAAGATATAGCTTCGAGTGGTTCCTTGCACGACCGAGTGCATCATACTTACAATAGCGAGACGACTGCATTGCCCACCAGCATACTCTGGGGGGGTCGATGGAGACTGACCCTTTGCTGCGCTTGCTGTACGGGAAAGATGTCTGTGAGTATTTATCGAGTGAGAGGGGAGCTGCGGACAACAAAGTATCTGCTTCGAAGACACCAAAGTGTATTGACTGTCTGTAGAAAATACTAGAAGTTAGGACAAGTAGAATGAGGAACTACATGACAAACGCAATGACATAATAAGGGTGGAATTAGGTTGAGTACGTAAACAATGATCGACGCCCTTAATCAAGTCTAAGCGACGTCATACATCAAGTTCTTCTCATCGTTCAACATTGCGGACCGTACTGTAAGGGTCTGCTGGTAAAGGCTTCAGAGGTCTGCTGCCACTAGTCGTAGTACTGTCCATCTGTAAAGACGTTTGGTTATCACTCAAGCATGCCACAGTAATCCAACCAACAACATTATCCACAACATTGATGTTTCGTGTCTTTAACAGTTTACTCGACTCAATGACAAAGGACCTGAAGGCCGCCGAGAAATTATGATTGCAAGACAGATCATAGCCGAGGCAAAGTACTTATTCAAGAGAAGGAATACTGCCTCGGCATATCCTTCGGAATGTCCTTTGTTCCTGGCGCATCATCACGCTCCTCCGTTTGTACATGTCATCTCCTAGACTACATCCTATGCTGTGCTGCGGCAAGGAGAGTAGTGTCAGAATATGAGTATCATGATATTGATAACTCTTCCGGTGAGGGTATAACATCCAGTTCCGATGAGCCTCTATACGTCTCCAGCGCCTGACCCACATTATGCAGTGTCTTTCAACGCTCTCCGTCCTCGCCTTTCTCGCAGTCGCCACTGTTTCCTCTGCATACCCCAATCCAGAATATGTCACTGGGGACATAAATCCTGTGCACGACCCGACACTGTGCAAAGACAATACTGGGAAATACTTTTTGTTTGCGACAGGTACAGGACTTGAAATCCGCACTTCGACGGACAGAATAACGTGGACCCTTGAGGGTGTTGTTTTCCCGAGCGGTGCAAGTTGGACTGATGAGTATACCGGGACATCGAACGGGTATGTTCATACTTCGTACTTCATCGGTTTCCACTCATCTGACGTTGTTGGGCTTTGCCGTAGCGTGTTGTGGGCTCCTGACTGTACATACCTCAACGGACAATTCTATGTGAAGACCGTTTCGCTTGCTTACTCTCCGGTCATTTCGTTGATGTCAATTATCCAGCTGTACTATGCTGCTTCAACATTCGGCTCGCAGAAAGTGTGTTCGATTTTTCACTTATGTTTGCACTGTTCTAACATCTTGCAATTGCAGTCTGGAATATTCCTTGCTACGTCTACCACGGGTCTTCCTGGTTCTTTTGTCAATCAAGGCCTTATAATATCAACAGCGCCGGGCGACTCATACAACGTAAGATATGTTGTCCGAAAACTTCAGAGTGATGGTTGATTGATAGCATCGTTTCCTTGCTTACAGGCTATTGATCCAAAGTGGGTGTTTGCTTTCGATTTTTGATATACTCTTACTGATAGCCAACTTCGTTAGCTTGATTATAGGTAAATCTATGTGCGTTTTACCCTGAAACATTAATTCCTAACAGTTATGAAGATGGCAGGGAATGGTACTTATCGTTGGGTAGTTATTCGACTGGCATAAAGGGCGAAGAGTGAGTGATTAATCCGCACTTTTCGGAACACGTCTGTATGGCTCAACGGATACTCAGGGTGGTGCCACTGGATGGACATGTAACTGGTTCACTTGATTCACTTGCTGCACGGTCTGGCGGTACAACTGCAATTGAAGCCTCCGTAATCTTCAAATACGGTGACTTCTACTACCTGTTCACGTCCTGGGACCAATGCTGCGAGGGCACGAATAGCACATATAACATCCACGTTGGACGCTCTACAAGGTACGCGAAAAAAGCTCGTACCTGTCCTGTTAGTTACCCGACAGGGCTGATATATCGATTAGCTTGAGGGGTGGCTATGTGGACGCGAATGGGGTTCCACTTATATCCGGTGGCGGCACACTTGTGCTTGAAACCCATGATGGGATCACTGGTCCGGGCGGACAAGACCTTTTGGTGGACGATGATGGACCTATCCTCGTTTATCGTATGTGGATCTCGTTACCACTGTCTACCAGAAAACGATGCGTTATTCACCGTACTTACCCTTGCAGACTATTATACGGATGCCGGTAGACTGGTAAGTGGATACCGTGTTTAATCCTATGCATTTATCTGATTATGAAATCATGTGTTTCTAGCTTGGGATCAACCGTCTTGATTTCTCGAGTGGATGGCCTGTCGTCGTCGAATGATCCTATTAAGAATTTCTGATAATTCTATGCAGTCGGAATGATTTAAATCCGCAAGCAATTCGTTCATTGTTTCATGGAATACATTACTCTACAGGAAATGTCGTTTTATTGCATGGACACTTTATTGAACAAAAGATATTTGTGATTACATGCTTTGCTGGGAACATGCATTCCGTGGCAACGTACTTTACACAGTAGTCAATGAACATACACGGTGATGATAGTCCGAATCCTCAATCAGGTCAGGAATAGCATAGAAGGAGAAACGGGGCCCAGTTGTACCATGTACAGCCATGCCCAGAGTACGAACATACAAGCTAATCAACATTGGGTCCCCAGCTCCCTCTCTCCAATATTCATAATGTAGGCTGTACTAGAACCAGCTGATGGACTGTAGACGTACCCATTATTAGTAATTACTGTACATCCAACACAAACATTATTATAAGTTATAACTATACATTCGAGACACTCTGTACCACGGTTATACAATCTATATTTTCGACCTTTCGGTTCTTTTCATTAGTGTAAACAGAATTCAAAGTATTGAGTAGATAATGGAAGACTCACAATGACCACTGGCATATTCTTTCTTGTGCTTACCATATATGGTAGGTCATGTCCTCAGTAACGCGACGCGTTTGTGTTGAATTGAATGTTCATCGTTGGCGTCCACTACTGGTACTAGAGTAAAGACATCATAAAAGCAGCCGACAATGACAATGAAAGCAACAACGTCGACCGCAAATACGACAGCTCACAATGCTCTCCCGTCTGTTTCGTCCTCGTCGGCACGTGCATCACGCATAGCAAGCCATTCGCACATCAAAGGACTTGGGCTTACCAACGACGGTACGGCGGCTGGAGATGCTGCTGGTTTCATAGGCCAAACAAACGCACGAGAGGTGAATACTCTCTATGAGGATTGCGTTTTGAATTTTTAAAAACTAATTAAATTTGTTTGAAGGCGTGCGGAGTAGTCGTTGACCTCATCAAGTCGCGCAAGTTTTCTGGTCGCGCACTTCTTCTCGCTGGCGCACCTGGTACTGGCAAGACGGCTCTTGCTCTTGCAATCTCTCATGAATTAGGCACGAAGGTGCCATTCTGTCCTATTGTTGGGTCTGAGGTCTACAGCACAGAGGTGAAGAAAACGGAGGTGTTGTCAGAGACGTTCCGTCGGGCGATAGGTGTGTAGTTTCATGTTAATTAGTGGCAGCTTATGCTGAAGATACTCAAAGGCCTGAGAATAAAGGAGACCAAGGAGATATATGAGGGTGAGGTGACTGAGTTGACGCCTGGCGAAGCAGAAAATCCTTTGAGTGGATACGGAAAAACCGTGTCGCACGTTATTGTTGGGTTAAAAACCGTGAGGGGTACGAAGCAGTTGAGAATGGACCCAAGCACCTACGAGGCGATCATGAAGGAGAAGATCGTTGTGGGAGATGTCATTTACATTGAGCATGATACTGGTTCGATAAAGGTGGGTGTGCACTTTTATTCATGTTTTCACGTAGCGAAGATCAGCTAAAATACTAACTTGTAATCGTAGCGTGTCGGCCGCTCAGACGCTTACGCCTCGTCGTATGACCTTGAGGCAGAAACATACGTTCCGCTCCCCAAAGGCGACGTGCACAAACGGAAGGAACTTGTGCAGGATGTGACCCTCGCCGATCTCGATGCGGCAAACGCCCGCCCACAAGGCGGGCAAGATATCATGAGCGTCATGGGTAGTCTCGTGCGTAGCGGTCGTACGGAGGTTACGGACAAGCTCCGACGGGAGGTCGACCGAGTCGTCAAGAGATATGTCGACCAAGGCGTTGCAGAAGTTGTTCCCGGTGTGGTGTTTATCGACGAGGTAAGCAGAATCGCATTTCGGGTTCAATCCGGCTAATTCATCAATCCGTTCTGACAACTTCCAGGTGCACATGCTCGATATCGAGTGTTTCACGTATTTGAACGCGTTATTGGAGTCTCCTATGGCACCTACCGTTGTATTAGCGACGAACCGAGGAATGGCTACAGTACGCGGGACAGATGACCTGCGCGCGCCGCACGGGATCCCCGTAGACCTTCTCGACCGGTTCGTTCCTTCCTACTCCAGCGACTCTGTTTCATGCTAAATCTTAGCACGATGACAGGTGTTTGATTGTAAAGACAGATTCGTACAATCGCGAACAGATCGCCAAGGTCCTGCAAGTACGCGCGAATGTCGAAGGGCTGAAGCTCGGGCCGAATGTTCTTGACCGGCTTTCTGCCGAGGGGGAAAAAGCATCACTTCGGTATGTCTACATATAGAGAGGCTTCCTTTCTGCCCTGTTTCATGTTCATGCGTCCCCGTCATATCACATATCGCTTGCATCTGACCGTCTCACGTTCCCGTGTTCTGTTCTGTATCTTGTCTCACTGATTCACATGTCATTGTTACCGGCTTATTACAGATACGCCTTACAACTCCTTACCCCTGCGTCGATCCTCGCCGGTATAGCAGATCGCACGCAGATCGAGGTGGACGACATTGGCGAGATGAATGAGCTGTTCCTCGATGCGAAGACAAGTGCGCGGATGATTGGACAGGACGGTGGATATGACGGTGGACGACTTGTGTAATGCAATTTCGGTTTGCGGCAACGATACACATTGAAAAGTATATCTTGATATATCGTAAACGACTGACCTGTTTGTAATTTAATCTCATGTTATCTACGAGTTCCAAGCTGACTGTCGTAGACTGACTGCCTTATAGAAAAAGCCCTGCCGTTAGGTCCGGGGTACTTATCATCTCTGTTACAAATTTGCATCCACTCGGAACATCTGGATAGATAAGTGCTGACCGCCCCCTCTTTAACCCGGAATCCATAAGCATTGTCGTTATATATTTGGAACGTTGCCGTTGATAGATATCGTCGCTCAAAGCTCCATCGCCGGTGTGCCGCCATTCTAGTACAATTGCAAATCTCAACTGTGTACAAACGTACATGCATGCGTATAGTGGCGCGCTCGTCCCCGTCCCCGTCTCCAAGGCGCTGAAACACCAACGCAGAAGCACGAGGTGTATCTCCATCTTTTTAACGTGAACCTCGTCTCATAAGCAACAGATGTACTATACGTTAGAGGCGAACTTAGGCTGAAGTGAAGCGCTCAAAAAAGGAAGTGTAGCCCGAGAAATCGTAAATTATGAACAAAACTCAATCAACTTCGCGCCTTTGTACTGTTTCTTGATCGACAAACAAACAAACAAACAAGGGGCGGACTATGTATGTACGTCAGAAGGTTGGCATGCCTACGACTGCGCACCCTACTTCGAAGGGCTTCGCGATGTCCTTGAAGATGTTAATGCCATCTTTGGACCATGATCTGGTGGTTGTAGAATGGGTATATCATCCGTGAAGCGTTTCATGTCTCCTTCGATCGCGGAATGTATTCAAGATAGTACTTCCTTACTTCCTTGCCCTTTTGTGCCTTCGAGGTTCTCCTAGTCCGATCTGATTCGGATTGTAATTGTTCCCCACATCTTCTTTACCATCCGTTGATTTATTGACTGGTACCCGAACTTCTGGGGCTGCTCGCAGATCTCTGCACATTCTGCGTTTGGCTGCAGTACTAATACGTTTAAGAAGTAGGACATCATAGAGACTCATGGAAGGCAAGAAGAAGCAAGGGAACCTTCCGAACAAAATTGTGCATCAAAGTCTGGTATAATTTTGTAAAAACCAGTAGTTATCTTCAACTCTGGAGGACTCGGTGATTGTACCTTTCTGGGGAAGTAACGTCTGGAAACCTCAGAGGTTGCGTTTAAAAGAGCAAGCACAGGTTGCAAGTGCCTTACAGTTTCTCTTCTTCTCATCTTCGATGCAAGCACTAGCGATTGATTGGACGTACAAGTGAAAAAAGTTGATCATTTGCTCAGAGGCTCTTCCTGAGTTCTCACGATTATACATTTATCAACGTAGTTTATACTCAAGGATCATACTAGTGTATTCCTATGCTAGTAAATACTCAAATACATATATGTATGCTTTACCTTACAACCCACTTTTCATTGACGAGACCTACCAGATTGACCTGTCAAACTCAGGAACACACATTGTAGGTCCACACCGATTTATTTAACCTCCCGTTGTTTGTCTGTTGCTTTGTCTATATGACAGACAGCATGATTTTACGTTTTATCGTTTCAGGGTCGAGTAGACAAACGGATGGCCGGGATCAGGGTTACTCAAAGTAATATCACGCAGTGGGATAATATATCGTCAACGGCTCGAGCGTACTGCGGAAGCAGACCGAGTACCTTACCTTACCGTCTCTAACCGTCGATTTATTATCTCTTCCCCACTAGTAATCGTAGGTAAATATCAGCCCTGAAAACACTCGTCGACATCATAGCAGAACATAGCATGGTGTATGTTCCTTACAAACCAGACATCCCAATGTACACAGATTCCAAGCAAAGACAAGACAAGACTAATAAATGTAAAAAAATCCCATTCCCCAAATATTCCAAGTAAGAAAAACCTCTCGGCATCCTCCGATTCCTAGTCTTGACAACAAACTAACGAGTAAACTTGCGCGTCGATACAGAACGTTTACTTTGGCCATGCCAATCCAATCAAAATTTACGAGCTAACCGACTGACCGAATAAGCTCGTTACCCGTTAGCCGATCGCATTTAGCATTTAGCATTTGACGTGCAAGGTATGCCAGGAGTGTTAGACTCAGAGATACGGATGAGATATGCCTAAAGGCTCATATGCATACATGAATAGAAATGTGTGGTGTGTACTAGCTGCCATACACTAAAAAAGACGCTCTAGATTGTCTAGACGAACAATAAAATTTGTGTGATTAAGTCATATTACTTATACAAGATTACACTCTATTAATGTTAATATTAATGAAACGTTTATAACGCAAAAAGTCTGATACACAAATTTGTTTCGTTTAGCACCAACAGCATCCACACAGCTAACGTATTCATAAAGCATTTTAGCAGCAATCATATGTATAGTGTAAGTACTATGAACTCAGATTCAATCTAAAAAGAATTCATTTTCCTTCTTCGAAAGGTTTCTACATTGCTTTTTTAGTGTATGCGTCATTTGAACTCCATCTAATAATGCTATACAGAGTGATTTAGAACGACTTGCTTTCTATGTTCCATGTTTTTCCAGTTTCACTTACTGTCATCCTATCCTATGAATAGCGTCTTATCTTCGGCGTCGGAGCGTCGGAATTGAGCTGATACCGCGATCGGGTCGCACCTCTTTCCAAGTCCAGTCCAATATATCTCGATGCTATGCTATTTATTTTAAGGGAACCGTGAAAAAGAAGTACCGAATGCCGGGTTGATAAAGATTGATGAAGAAAGGGTCTTTTTGTGAATTCTTTCTTTCTTGGCACGTTAACTGAAAGAGTAGAATAAATGTATGATAGTGTAGAAGCAACCCCAGCGACATAACGGACGAAGAGCCAGTTGAGTTGTCTTGCCTAGGGGATGCCAAGTTTGAATGTAACCAGCCGAGTTCCCGGTTCCTTGGATTGGAATGATGATTCAGATGAAGCAGGTCTAGGAATCCAGAATGGATTGAATTCCATTGATTTTGTGTGAGTAAGCTAAGTAGTTGTCCAGGCTTGCTGTTTGAGTCTATCAGAGGTCATCGAGTCTATGTATATAAACTGTACGAGCCTAGGCTGACATGAAACGAAGAATGGCGGGTGCAGAGCGGACGAACAGGCGTTCAGCCGAACGATAGGCATGCATCCCTACTAAAGCCCTCTTACTTGCCGCTCGGCATTCCCGAGTCCGTCAAACCGCACATCCACCAAGGGTCTTCGTTCTCCGCTTAAGTTAGCACGCGACGAAGATGGATTACGACAACCCCGCAACGGAACGCCACCTCTAGTCAAGACATTCGTCATCTTCCGAGAGTTCGCTAACGCCTGGGTTGCATTGAATTGGTTTTTTTGAAATTAGGGAATTAGGGAATGGGGAAGAAGTAAAAGGCAAAAACGTGAATTAGGTTTAGACTCGATCACACACACTTTCCTCATGCCTGTGCTCTTTGGTGTGCATTTTACATGTACACGTACAGATTTTTATGGGCGCGTGGTGCCGACGGAACCGAGATAGGCCGGAAAGCCCGGCAGTCGCAATGGAGGTGTGTTGTGGGCGTTGAAAGGTAAAGGAAAATTGACGACAACAAAGAGAGGCAAGTTGGCAACGTGGGATCGACGCATTCGCGATGCGACGCGGACGACAGGGTTGCGGGCGGTTCTTGGGACCGACCTACCGACGCCCTTGGATTGAGTGGCCGTCACCCAAAAACGCGGCGTTTCAAGTGCAGGCGTTCCATGATGGCGGCAAGTGAATACTATTGCGATCGGCTTGCAATATCGATAAAACATGAATTAGGACATGACAATAATAATAATAAAAACGAAACAGGTTGCAGGAGTATTATTTGATATAGATAGTGAGTGTAAGAGTAATGAGCGAAGTGGACTGGAGAGATGACGACAAGACCGGAGATAAAACTGGCAGGGTTCTCGCGGGAGATGCCGGATCTGCCCACTTAGCGACGGAGAGATCTGCCCTGTTTCATACCATATATGGTAGTACTGTTACGTTAGCAGCCAATATTCTATTTTCCGTATTCTATTTTACATGGCATGGCTATAGCTGCTCCTGCTTATAAGAGCATGGACAAGCGCGCTATGCTCCTCCTCCACATCCAATAGACCCCCCGCACTTGCTTTCCCTCTCCGACCATCTCGCGTCTCGTCTGCTCTACCCTCCACTAATCTCTCCTCTCTGGGCGTACAGCGACCGCCTCACCTTCTGACGAACACTAGTACTCCCTACAGACGACCACCGCATCCTCCACGCGACAAGACTCACTTGAAAAATGACTACAATGGGTATCCCTTTCCTCCTCGAGGACCGTACTGGTGACGTCCTCAATACTGAATACGACGAGCTCTACGACCGCATGTTCTTCGGCGTCACTTCTGCTCCTTCTCCCTCTGCCATCGTCTCCCCCACCTCTCCTTCCCGTCCCTCTTCCCGAAGTGTAACCATCAAGATATTCGAACTCGGCTCTCGCACAAGCTCTGCTAGAGGTGGCCTCAACTTCGGGAGGGACCCTGTCGTGATTCTTGACTTTGCCACTGCACCATCTTCTGCTGCGCATGGAGGGTTTGATGTACTGGGCACGATACTCTTCGTCCGACAGAGCGTCAGCATGCCGATGGAGAAATGGATCAGGAAGAAGGGTGCTGGGACGTGTTTTGCATGCTCCGATGGAGAGACCTATATCTGGACGTATCGCGCGAATAATGAGACGGAGTGGACAGTGAGTTTGTTCCGTCCTTTTTTTTTCCTTCCAAATTTATCCATTGACGTGTACCCCTTACCATGCAGTGTACGACATCAACGGGATACGTCGTCGCGGAATACAATCTCCGCACGCCTTACGAACCCAAGTATGCCAGTTCTTCAGGGAACGTGTTCAGTGTGTATGAATCGTATGGACACATCGCTACTGGTACGTTTCAGCCCCCCACTCTCTCATTCGTGTCATCTTCCAAGTCCACCTCGTGCCTTCATCCCTTTCTTCCCATCCCTTTGTTGTGCTTTCATCTCTTTCGTCAGCCCCCTGATTATTAACTTTTCCTCCTCCCTTTGTCCCATTCAAAAATTTTCGATGAATGTGCTGATCTCATCCTTTTGTGCCACGTGTATCCAGAACTCCTCGCGTCGCTGACAATCGTACGGTACATGCAACGGTGTAATGTCCTTGCGTAGACTCGATCTTTACCCCACGAGGGTAAATTCATGATGTTTACGACTTGCTTTACGTCCGACACTTGACGCCTGCCGATCGGGATCGGGATCGGGGTCGGGACCGTACGTACAGACCAACTTGCGGTCACCTTCCTCCACGATGCGCGTGTACATGTTTGTCGCTAGTCGTGTCGTGGGGGGACTCCGCTCACAGCGGTGTTGGCTGTGATCACGATCGCTTATACGCTGGCTAGCGTTGTATATGCATCAGTTCTAGGCGTACGTCTTAAAAGACCCGAAAGTGGTGCCATCTGGTTCGCCCGTACATACATACCGCCCGCCCATTGTGTCTCGGCAGGGCCGTCTGTACTTCGTCCCCACGCGCGCCTTTGTATCATCCTGTACCTCTGCGCACCGCTCAACTTGGTATACTCAAAATTCAAGATCTCGGATATATATCCGCACGTACATTTTGTCCTGTCTCCTCTCTCCTCTGTTTTGATTTATTGTGTATTATTCTTTTTTCTTTCTTTCTTTCGATCTTCGTCCATCTCCATGCCTTCATCGTTCGTCATTTCTCATTCGCGTTTGTGATCATTTTGTTTATTGCATGTGGACTATTGTGCATAACTATTCCCCTTTGTTAATACCTCGTACATCATATCATCATATCATCGTATCTCTCCGTGTTTGTCATCATCTCTGTCCTGTTTGTTTAATTCCTCTCTCTCAGCGTCTCTCGTCTCATCCCACTCCGATTAATTCATACCTCATCATACCTTAGTCCAACAAGTACCCTTACTCCTAATGTTAATCGTAACCCACAACTTAATTGATAATGAAACACGGTCCCACGATTTTGTCTTTACCTCTGTTTCTTTAATCCATAGTGTTCTGTTTCATACAGTATTGTAGTACTGTTTCGAGTTAGTTGTGAATATATGATACATATACATAAGGTTTTGTATGTAATTTATATTAATTCAACTTGTTTCGTCTTCCCTGCTTTAGATTGACTCACTAGTAGTAACTTCAAGTAAAACAGCTGTGGTACAGAATGAATTCTAGACCTTTTTAGTACTACATATTCTATATCCACGTTAACAGCCTCGGTCTCAGCATCTAAGGCATGATGTACTTTAACTACACCATAGAAGCAGAGCTTGGAAGGACGTCTCGGACACAGTACGAAACGAACAAACGAACAAACAGATAGCCATCATTCTTTCCCTTGGTTTGAGATAATTACTACTTTCTTTTTACAGTGAAGCAATGTAAAGCCACAATACTTTGGCAAATGATGAATTTGCCTTGTTGCTGCACATCCAATCTCCGCGAAAGTCTGTAGCCACGTTAACGGCATCGGTACCTATGGCATAACATACCTACTTAACAACCCAGAAGAAGCAGGGGTGAGGAAGGACATCTCGGACACGAAACCATCGAACGTATAGCTACAGTATCGGGTCGCCACCTACTAGACCTTTTAATTTTAATTTTAATTTCAATTTTGTTTTACAAGTATTGATAGCACATTTGGACTTAAGACTCCTTGAAGTTCTTCGCTGTGTGTCGAAGTGGTAAGTCGGAAGGACATCTCGGACACACAAACGAACGAGCGGGTTGCATGGCATGCCGTCATTAATATTGACCGAGAGACAAACAAACGGACAGCAATAGCTGTAGCATCGGGTAGTCACCTACAATGTCAAGTTCTACAAATGAGTATGTTGTACATAACTCGCGTACGCTCGGACCTGGACTTCTTTCGCCCTGCGTCGGCTCGCTCGGAGAGTACGTGTGAGACAATTTTCATAAATACTGCGGCATGCCGTCATCGATGTATTCCGACCATCCCGTCAGGTCGTCACTGAGTCAAGACGTCATGCGCAATGAATCATGTTAATGCCTCGGGTAAGTATACTAGTCATAGGATAGGATTTCTACCGGCGGCTAACTTAGCGTGCCCCCTCCCCTCCTCGGACGACGTAAAGTGCGTACGAGCGCATCGGAAGGAGACCTAGGGACCTAGGGTCTCCAATCCAATCAAACACAGTAAATGTCAGTCCTGGAATGGCTGCTTATGGGCTGTGCATATGGGAGAGTGCGCCGGTATTCCTGCCTGGGCTTACGGCGGAGAAGGACGGTCTTTCCATTAGGGTCTCCGAGTCTGCGTCCGAGTCGGATACCCGAAATAAAGGTAAAGGGGGGGCTAGAGACATGGTCAGGGGGTCCGTCGGAGTGATGGGAAGAAGGCTACGGATAGGAGGATTGATTGAATATATGCTTTAAAATAATATTAAGAACGAAGTGATTCATTGAATACAGGAAACACGACATTCAAATGTTTACTGGACCAGCGAAAAGGGGAAGGATCTTAACAACTCACTTTCTGTCAACACTGTCATCTTGCCTCGAAGGCTCGCAAATATTTACTTCTTGGATGCCCTGCACACCTATATCAAGTAAAACATACACCATTAATGCATGAAACCCACATCCACAGACGTTGACTATAATAAGTCGCTAGTCATTGCTGGTCGGCACTTTCCATACCCCCACATAAAAGCAGCATTCCAGGTCTTTGGCGCAGTTAGTACGGGTGAATTTGTCAAGTTCATTGTCGTTAAATACTTTGCGACCCTATCGCCTAGTATACTCACTTCGGCATCTTTGAGTACCGTGGATTGGCCGCGAACTAGGACTATGCAATTGAAGCCGCCAGCACTGGACTCTGGAATATGCGTTTATCAGTTTAGCATCGTCGGAACATTCGTATCGTCCTCTGCTCACCTACTCACCTCTGTGGTTAGGTGAATACGTACATACCCCAGCAAATTCAAGTCAGTAAAATAAGGCTTGAAAGGTCAACCACATACTGTATTCCACCAGAATTCCATGCTATGAGTGAGTCTTCACTGCCGCACTGACTTCACCTCAAACCGAAAAGACGAAGCAAAGTAAAGCAAAATGTATTAATAAAAATACACCCCCTACCCTTCTACACTCTATACCTCTAATGCCTCTAATATCAATGTCTCCCTCCACTACTAAAATGGAACGAGAAGGGCATCCCACCACCCTGTTGGAACTGGAACCCTCCATGCTTCCCGCCACCGAACCCACCTGGCCCACCTTGGAAGAATTGTGCGAAGGGATGCCCGCCTTGCTGGAAGGGTGAACCTTGGTTGGATGTGTCGTTCGGGTCGTCGCCGTTGTCGAATCGTGTGCGGAGCTCTGTTGGTCGGTACAAGTGTGAAAATGGGGTCAAATATATGAACGATGAACGCTGAAAGAGAGGGCTGACCTGGATTGGATAATACCTCGTACGCTTCGTTCACTGCAGCCATTTTATCCTCGCTCCCACCTTTGTCAGGATGGGCTGTTTTTGCTGCTTTCCTGCTGCAAATTTCACATCAGTAAAAAAGATGAGGAAAAGAGGTGAAGAAACGAAGCGTACTAGGCTTTCTTTATTGTTCGCTCATCGGCATCGCGAGGGACTCCTAGTACCTTGTAATAATCCTTCTGACGCGATTGCTTGAGAAGACGTTGGGCCTTTTGTAGACGTTTCATGATCTAAAAGAACAGTCAACAATGATATAGCTGATGCGGCAAATGCAAAAGACGAACATCCTGGTTCGACCTTCCGCTGAGCTCAAACGCCTTCTCAAACGTCCGTACAGCCTCCTCCCATTTCTCATTTACCATCATCATCTCCGCACGTCCAACGAGCCCGTCTATATCCTCTGCATTCCCTTCAAATCGGAGAAGCTCCTCACACCACCACTCCGAACGCTTTGGCTGTTCGAGTCTCACATATGCCACACAAAGTGCACGAACCACGTCTTTTCTTCGTTCACTTGTTCGGAGGGGCGTAATATTTGACGGTACTTCTACCTTCGCGACTTCAGCGTCGAACTGCGCTGCAAACCCACTACCAGGCGGAGTCTCCTTTGCATTGCTTCCGAATAAATGTGTGACGAGGCCGCGCCAATCATTTGCCTCCCGTAACGCGTTCAACTTCTCAAAGTCCTTATCGAACTTTTTCAGTTTCTTATGCATCTTTGCGCATTTAGCACTATCCGGGTCGAAGTGTAAACACTGCTTAAGCGCGCTGGCCGCCTGTGGAGAAGGAGGAAGAAGGAAGTACGCGAGCTGCGCGACGCGTAAGAAGAGTGCGCTAGACGCAGGTCGGAGATGCGTTAGCCGTACGAGATCGCCAACTGCCTGTTGAACATCACTTGATGATAACGCGCAGTCTGCTCGTAGTTCGCGGAGGTCGCCTGAATGTGAAGCGATACGGAGAGCTTCAGTTGCGGCGGCGACACATTCTTGATAATTCCCCGAGCGTTTACTTTGTGTGGCCTTTTTCTCTGCTGCCTCGCCTTCTGTTACTTCGAACATGAGGTCACCTGCACTTGCGTCATTCTTCACCCGTGAAGAGTACCGTTTCAACGCGTCTCGTGCGGCGGACCACGATCCTTCTTGAGCATGGATACGTCCTTGCATGAGCAGGGCCTTGTCGAAACTCCCTCCCGTCAACTCGAGGACCTTGTCAAAATCTGCAAGAGCATTTGGGTGACGACTAAGCGAGTAATACGCCGTTGCACGTTTGTAATAGAGAATGTAGTCCGTCGGTGATTGCTCTACTCAAAGTCGTTCAATAAATCGACCTTCGGAAAACTGAGTCTAGGAAACGCACCAATAGCTTCTGAATAAGCCTTAACAGCATCGTTGAACTGCCCCGAAGTCAGATACGCGTTCGCCTTGTTGATGAGCGGCTGGAGCTCGGGTGCGAGATGTTGCTGCTCTGCCTGTGCCTGCGCAGCAGCGACAAGCGATAGCACAAGGAACGTTAGGCACGATGGTAAAAGCTTCATGTTTCACAAGGTTGCTGTCTATGAGTGACGGGGTGGCATCCAGGGTGAAGGCGGGAGTGAGCTGAGCTGCTAAGGTGACACGTATGCAGACTACGTGTAAGGTTCGGAACTGGATACCAAAGGCGTTAGACAAACCTTGACAGTGGTGCACACAGGTACTAACCTGCCTGAGAGGGACGCTCTGCTGCGTCGTCTTGCGTAAAGAGTGATGGTGATGTTGCACAGACAAAAGTTGGAATACAAGTACGTTATTTATTTAGTTTACTACAACGCATGTAACTTTATGTACAGTGTACTTGATGACGTGATGATACACTTAGTCATCAACTCTCAGAGCAAAGACTTTTAACCTCAATGAAATTGAATGAATATGCAATGTACTTGGCTTGATAAGATGATGGTTGGAAGAATGAAGGCAATTTGATGCACAATGAAACAAAGATACATAGAGTTTGCTGAGTTTAGACTATTCTACAGTATAAGTCAATGTAGCTGCTTTAGCATGCTAAAAGCACCTGAGGGACATACTGTAAGGGGCCTAATTAGAGGGTGTACAAGACCCTTGTAGTCCCTCTAATTAGGTACCTTTTAAGCTTTTCTCCCTAACTGTACTTAATACTAGACTTAAATAGTAAAAAAAATTCCAAGTCAAAATAAAATAAAATAAAATAAGTATGCTGAGTGCCCTATATGGCAACTGTGCCCTCCCTACCTGCCACACCTTGAGCTCACTGTCTTATACAGTGAGCACACACTTTCCTCTGTATCTTACTCAATTCTTAACCAAATTTCTTTATTATTCCTTTAAAATTAATGTAAATTTAGTTAGAACTCATTCATAACACAAATACAATGTTAAATGTATCAATTACTTGTGTATTTGTATACTATTTGATAATAAAAAATACAACAGATTATGATACTCTAAACTCTTAATACTGTAATAATAGTAGAGCTTATATATCTACAGTATATCCAAGAATTGAGTCTGTGTAATGTATACAAAGGAAGTTACACTATACTTTATATACATAATTTTGTAGTCTCATATCTATGTAACCACAGAAGTTATTAATATAAGAGTGGCTTTTTTAAATAGGTGTAGATTAGTATTAAATTATTATAAGATATGAGAGGTTTAAAATGAGGAGGTAAATTGTTATTAAGAGTATAGTACAAATATTAGAGTCTATATATCTTTACTATATGTTAGTTGTTTTATGTAATACTAGGACGTATTGGAAGGTATCAGACAGTAGTATAATTTCACAAAGTTATAAGGTTGTAGCTCTTGTATTTGTTAAGATATCACATGTACAAGTTTACTACAACTCTACTTTCTTTAGACATACATTTCAAGTACTTGTATTTCTAGTTCTACAACACTCTACCCCATGACTAAGTATTTATTATAATTATACTACCATATTCAGTATTTGGATAAAGTTTTATTGAGATTACTTGAGTACTTACTAAGTTTTCAAGATATTTCTTATATATTAATTTATAGAAGTATGTTCAGACTTTGAAACTTTATAGAAATACTATTTTCAA